ATAAAGGGGCACCACTTCGGGCCATGCGACGCGAAGTCCAGCAAGTGGCGGGCGCATGCCGCCACTTGCTGGTCTTTGCGGCGCACAGCCGACAGTCATGCCCCTTTATGGTGCCCGACGATGACCAGCCCACCCGTGCAACCCGCAAGCGGCCGTCGGCAGACCCTGCAATGAAGGCGACAAAGATCAAGGCGTAGGAACGAAGTATTACTTTAAATAAACCTACTTAACAGCGTCGTGTGAGATGACGTGTCATCGTGCAATAGACTTTGGTACCTTGTGAGCTGGATGGGTCGTCGGTCTTGCGGTCGCGCGGAGGGGCGAGGAGGCGGTGGCGGCGAGCCCGCGTCGGTAGATGACCGAGTGCAGAATATGGACCCGACCCACTTTGGACCCGACCGACGTTTTGAACGTTTTGCTGGGTGTGGTCAAGACATAACAACGAGCTCCCGGCGCGATCGCGTTCGATCAATCGCACGGCCTCGTGCAGCAATACGGTCACTCACTGACCGTCGCCAAGACTGGAACCTGCCATTGTCTTGTCTTCCATCTCGAGGGACGCATGCGACATGTTTCGAATTCGCACTGGTCTACGAGTCGGCGCCGCGGTGCGCAGCATACAGGTAAACGTACGTGGCCGCGCCGACGCGCACGCTTGTCGGCATACAATTGTATCGAACTAAAGAGTTGGCCGCAATGACGCGTCCTTCTCGATTTGCACGATGCAGTACTTGAATAAGAAAACTCATATTTCTCATTTTTCATTTACGGCTATATCAACTCTGTGGACTATTCGTCGTCAAAATCATAGATGCCCCGGTGCGTCGCGTAGAGGTGTGCGTAGACGTCGTCGGCCGAGTCGAAGCCAGCGGCGCACACGTAGCACCAGTGCTGGCCGCAGTTGCACGTGATGTGGTTGCAGCCGCCCGTCTTCTCCGTCTCGACAGAGCACCCGGGGCACGCCATCGTCGCAGGCATCGCAGGACCCGTGGCGGCCAATTGGGCGGTGACACACTCGGTGCAGCGGAACGTGGCGACGTCGTGGGGCGGCTCGGCCGCGCAGGTGCGCTCGACCAGCTCCTTGACCTTGTAGCAGCCGAGGCACCAGCCATAGTACATATCCGCTCGCCACGTCATTGATTTGGAGGCGACAAGTGCGCACGCCTGCCGGTTGTGCTTGCGGAGCACACCGAGCGTGGGCACCCGACGGCAGAACGGACACCCGAGGTGGGACGCGAGCAGCATCTTGCCCGGCTGCACGGCAGCGTACCACCGCGACAGGCATGACTCGCAGCACTTGGTCGCGCAGCGTCCGCACGCCGACGTCAGCGCCGGCAGCGTCAACTCGTCAAAGCAGAGGTTGCACACGTCCTTGAGCGTCCCGGACACGACCGTGTCTCGGATCAAAGCCACGAGCGCGTCCGCGTTGTGCACTCGCTTGCCGTCGACGATCAACGGCGTTGGCTCGCTCGTCGCCTGTGTGGCGCTGAAGAGCAGGCCGTGCTTGAGCGTAAACATCTTGAAATAGTTGATGGTGCGGTCAAAGGCCATGGTCACGAACGACGCGGCGGTGGTCGGGCGCGTCCACTGCAAGTCGGCGAGGATACCCGGGTTGGCAGCCAACAGCGCCTGCAGCGTCAGCGTCGTCGGCGCCGTCGCTTTCGTCGGTGTCGCCGTGCACACGGCGCAGACATTTGGGTGCGCGGCCGCGTAGAGCCCCGCGGGGTCGACGAAAGCGTTCCAGCACCCGTTGCAGTGGTGCATCGGTGGCTTCTGCTTGGCGCCGCTGCGGCAGTAGAAGCACTTGGGCGTAATGTTGAGAAGGTCGGTCTGAATGACGGCGTAGAGACCGTGGCAGCCCCGGCACTCGACGAGGTGCGAGTTGGCACCCGGCACGGCAGCCTTGGTTTGGATTGCCGTGGCTTCCTCGGCACCCGCTGGTGTGACTACATATTGTACGACCGCTGATGTAACTACATAATGTACGACCGCTGATGTGACTACATATTGTACGAGTGCATCGTCTTGCAAAGATGCAGCAGTGGTTTTGACTTGTGGAGACGCAAACCCAATGCGATAGTTGGCAATAGAAAACAGCCTCATAGCTGATCTCTCAAGTGCTGCATAAATATTGTGATGGAACGACTGCTCGAGTCACGATAGACGTCACAACTGGGCCCCTGGAGTCACTGGAGTCACTCGAGTCAGCATGCGCCAAATATCGATCTCCTCCGAATGGCTCTGCCAGTCATCTACACCTCCAATATACACTGTCGAATCCCTCTGGAGTCTCTAGTCGTCGTGAAAGCACTCCAAATGTTTGATTTCGTACAATAAAGCCTGCCAACTCTCCAATTTCGTACAACTAAGCTTGTGGTATATCGTCGGTCCTCAACAAGGTGACGGTGCACAGCTACCACGTCGCGTCATCGCACCCGAGTGGCAGCGAAGGTTTGCGGCCGCTTCTGGCGTCGTCGCTCTCTTCGCAGAGCCAAGTAGGCGTCGACATGGCGCCGTTCGATGTCCACTTGCTACACACAAGTCCGTCCTTGCACTTGGTCGGTGTCGCAGGCCGTCTCAATGCGCTTGGCTTGGTGAAGCACGGCGCGTCTTGCGTCGACGGCTTCCCAGTGAGCTCGACGGGCGACGTCTTTTGCTAGACACAGATGACAGCTGCAGAAGCCGCCGTGCAAGCCGAGGTATTATTTCCTCTGTCGACGCACGCGATCGTTGGTCAGGCTCAAGGGAATAAATACTCAGGCTCCTCGGGGTCCGAGTCGGTGCATGGCAACAGTAGACGTGCTACTGTTGCCACGGAGCTCGACGACAGACGGACCAATCGATGCACGCGATGGACAAGTTGTCTGTTTTGAAACGAAACAATGGAGAATACAAGACAATAGATTGATTGCTGCTACACTACGTAATATGCAAGACGCGACGCAGCTTACATGCTGTCGTCCATGTACGAAATGTCATCCCACGGGTGGCGGTACAGCGGCTGCTTGAGGCGCTTCTGGTCGAGGTAGTGGCCGATAAAGCCGATCGAGCGGCCGAGCACAAAGAGGCCGTTGAGGCAGCCGTCGGCGATCTGCTCGTCGGCTTCTTCCTGCGTGAACGCGCCGCAGTTGCGCAAGAGGTCCACAAAGCAGACGGCGATCGCGCCGTCGACGTTGAGGATGAGCGTGCTGCGCTTCTTGGTCGTGATCTGCTCGACTTCGAGCGCAAAGTTGAGGATGTTGTTGGCTGGGAAGTGCGCGAGTGCGTATTCCTTGATGATGGTCACGCGCTTGTCCGGGTTGGTCGTCGACTTGATGCGGTGGCCAATGCCCATGATGAGCTGGTTGCTCGCCTTCATCTTGTTGACAAAGTCGGCCGGCGACATGCCCGAGTCGTACGCCTTGGTAAACATCTCGGCCGCCTGGTCGAGCGCGCCGCCAAAGCGAGGCCCGACCGTCATGAGGCCCGAGACGAGCGACGAGATGAGGTCCTTGCCGGCGCGCGCCGTCACGATCGTGTTGTGGGCGCCCGAGACGGCGGGGCCGTGGTCGGCGGTCACCATGAGCACCATCTCGATAAACTTGGTCGCGTAAGGCGGCAGGCGACGCTTGAACCAGAGGAGGCCGAGGACGCCGCCGACGCCCATCTCATTCTCAAAGACGTGCGAGATGGGCATGCCGGCGTACGTGAGCTCTTCGCCGCGGTCGTCCGTGATGGACGAGATAAAGTTGGCCGGCTTGCGGATCATGCCGAGCTTCTTGGCCCACGCGTAGTCCATCGGCACGGCCGGCACCGGCACCTCGGGCCGCGGCACGAGCGCACCGGAGGCGACGAGGCTGTCGTACGCCGTTCGGATCGCCGTGCCAAACTGATCAAAGTTTCTCGGGACGATGGCGCCGGCGTGTGCGAGCGCCGCGTTCTTGGCCTCGGCCGTCTCCGACTCGCCGGTGGCGCACGCACCGGCGTGGCCAAATTGCACTTCGAACGGGAAGATCTTGGCGCACGTGCCAATGCACCAGGCGACGAGCGGCTTGGTGATGCGGCCGTCCTGGAGCGCGCGGCACACTTCAAACTCGTCGGTGCCGCCGACTTCGCCAAGAAGCACCATCATCTTGACCTCGGGGTTCTCTTGGTAGCGGAGGAGGTGCTGGATGAAGGTCGAGCCCGGGTACTTGTCGCCGCCGATCGCGACGCCTTCAAAGACACCGTCGGACGTTTGGCTGATGATGTTGTTGAGCTCGTTACTCATGCCGCCCGACTTGGAGACGTACGCGACCGAGCCCGGGCGGTAGAGCTTGGACTGGACAATGTTGTCCAGCATGCCACCCGTGTTGCCGATGCGGAGGCAGCCGGGCTTGATGCCGCCGACCGTCGCGGGCCGATGAGGCCGACGTTCTTGGCGGCCGCGCGCTTGATGATGAGGCGCGTCTGCGACTCGGGCACGCCTTCGGCGATGATCGCGTGGGTCTTGATCGTGTCGCTGCACGCGAGCGCCTCCATCGTCGACGAGAAGACGGACCGGAACGACGAAAAGTTGACGAGCACCGAGACGTCCGGGTACTTCTTGACGGCCTCCTTGATGTCCTGGAAGACTGGGATGAGGCGCTCGGACGTGCCCCAGTAAAACTTGAGGTAGTGGTTCTGCGAGAACGGGAAGATCATGGCCGCCACCGACGGCGTCTCGCGCTTGCAGAGGTAGTCGAAGTCGAGCATGCCTTGCACCGCGCGCTGCTGCATGCCGTAGACGATGCAGCGCGTGTGGGCCTCCATGCGCACAATCCCCTGGTCCTGGATGAGCGACCGCGCCGGCGCGCCGTCCTCCGACGCAGTAGCATGCGCCGACGACTCGGACGTGGTCTTGGCGTCGCGCGACGGACCGGGCGACGCGGCCGGCGACGGCTCGATCGGCGTCTTGGCCTCGGCCGGCGGCGGTGGCACCTGGGCGTGGTCGGGCGCCACGAGGCCGAGCGCCATGGGCACGATCGCCGTGATGTGCGTCTCGGGGCCAAACACGTGGATCGGGACACCGGTGGACTCGCCCGTCTCGCGCATGAGGCGGAGCCCTTCCTGGTAGTTGGGCCCGGCGCGGCGGAGCCAGATGGTGATGTTGCGCTCCTTGAGCTTGTCCTGGAAGTCGGTGATGGCCGTGATGATGCCCTTGAACGTCTGCGCGACGTCGGTAAAGTTGGCAATGCCGCCGCCGATGATGAGCACCTTCCCGCGCGGGTCGTCCTCGCGCGTCATGAGGTCGAGGATCGTGCGCGCATACTGGTACGTGTGCGCCTCGGACGGCGCGCCAGAGTACTCGCCGTAGTTGGCGAGCTCGTGGCCGAACCCGAGGTCCGAGATCGTGTCGGCGTACACGACCGACGCGCCGCCGCCCGCGACCATGGTCCAGACGCGGCCGCGGTGGTTGAGGATCGTGAGCTTGAGCGACGCGCCCGTCTTGCCGTCGAGCTCGGCGATGAAGGCCTCTTCGGGGAACTTGGCGCGGCCGAACGGCGCGGGAAACTCGATTTCGCCCCACTTTGTGCCGCAGAGGAAGCCCGCGGTCTCGTCGAGCTTGGCGGCCATGTCGAGCGGCACGATCTTGTCGCCGACGACCACGATCGGGTTGATCTCCATGTAGACAAAGTTGAGGTCGCGGTAGAGCGCCAGCAGCGACGAGATGAAGCTCGCAATGATCGTCTGGCGCGCCGGCACGACGTTGAAGAGGAGCTGCGTCGCAATCTCGTCGACGGTCGGCGTGACTTCCAGCGGGATCTGGAGGCGCAGCGCCTTGGCATCGACGTCGCCGACGTCGACGCCGCCTTCGTGGTGGAAGAGGATCTCTTCGCCGAGGCGGTTGGACTGGAGACAGAGGTAGTACTCGTCCGTCGACGCATGCGGCACGAACGGCTCGACGATAAAGTGGTCGAGGACGCCCGTGACGACCTCGACCTGGATCTCGCGGCTCATGCGCGCGGTGATCCACTCCTTGACCTCGGCCCACGTCGCGTTGAGGAGGAGCAGGTTGGCCTTGCCGCGGCGCTTGATGAGCTGATCGGGCTTGACGACGAGCTTGGTCTCGAGCAGCCACGGGTTCTCGCGCACGACCGAGTCAAAGTTGATCGAGGGCACCTTGGCGTCAAAGATGATGGGCGTGATCTGCACGAAGCGCGACTCGAGCGTGTGCGCGCCGCTCGAGTAGTCGGCCAGCCACTTGCCGAGGAGGCGCTTGCCGTCGTACTCGCGGATCGCCTTGGCCGACATGCTAGTGCTATCAGATCTGTGCGGTGGCCCGAAAAAGGAAAAGTGAGCTCCTAATCTTTGCAGTCGCGAGTCGGCCAATCGCAGCGCCGCATTTTCATCGGCCAATCCGAACGCGCCACTCGAGACCTCTGTGGGATACAACCAATCAGAGGCCACGGTGCAGTGACGCAGGAGGGATTTGGTGTTTTCACGCGGCAAGACGTGCGCAATCAGGTCGTTCGTGGGAGGAAGAAGCGAGGCGGGGAGGGTGTGACCGCGACGACGGCGCGGCCGCTAGCGCCTCGGCGAGGCCGCCCTCGCGCCGCCAAAGGCAGTCAACGCTAGAGATCATAGAGACGAATGCGACGCCTCCATCGCCGCCGGCAACCGAGGACTAGAAAGGCGGGTCCGACGCCGAGAAGATCGTGCGGCCCGGCAGGGGTGTAATGACCGCCTTCAAGAATGCATACATTTGTGCTCGATAGACTCGGACGCTCGACCCATTTCTTGTGCTGCTAGCGGGCTTTTATGCACATTCATGCTTCGTCGCACGCGCGTCCAAGGCGATGTCGGTGCCAAGGACAGGCAAGCGCCCGGCGTCGTTGGAATGGCGGGTGCTGAGCCACGCAGAAGCGCCGCCTCTTGACCCCGCCACGTAGAAGAAGTACGACGTGCCTACGAGACGCCATCTCTGCAGCGACGCGGTGTAAAAAACACGTCTTTTTCACCAATTCCCACCTTGATTCCCCTCGGGATCCGGAGGCGCGTCCGCGGAAACTTTCCTTTTTGGCCAATCAGCGGCGCTGACGTCGGCCGCGCGCTTGAGATTCGCACGATGACATCATGCAGATTGGACCACGTGGTGCATACGTGATCCGAGGCCCACGCGGCCATCGCGAAGCGGTGACGCGCTCGTAGAAGCGGGGTCGTCGCCTCCTGAAGAAGGCTTGGAAGAGGATGTTGCGACTTGTTCAAGGACCACCAGGCGCTGTGCCCAGGCTCTTGCTAGCAAGGCAGCGCGCTCGGATCGCTCGACTCCGAGATCGTTGACATCTTGGAACCGGTTGTATTGACGTAAACACGAGCGGGCGCCACAAGAACCTTGCTCGGGGCGACGATATGTTGACACGACACGCCCGTCCCGTCGACGTTGCTACATCCTTCCCGGCCGCACCAGTAAACGATCGAAGCCATGTCGGACAGCAGTAGCTTGAGTTTGTTCGAGTACATATACGCTGTTTCTAGAAGCTTGAGATTGCACCGCAGAAGTCCCTCTCTTCCCGATCATTCGACCAGAGGTTAGGAGCGATGGCTGCCGTGCCATCGACTTCAACCTGCAGCTGGGTGCAGTCAGTTGGGACGTCGACGCGACTGCATTCGTTCGAATGCGATTACCTAACGCGCCCCTACGTGCCCCGGCGTGACGTCAATCGCTCGCATTTGATTGGCGCACGAGAATAGCGCGTCATGACTGGAACCATGATGGGCGACGACCGCAGCAGCTACGTGCCCAAGGCGGCGACGGCCGCCGGCCCGCAGACGTACTTCGTCGAGCTCACGGCCTTTCCCGCGCGACGCCAAGCGCCGGCCGTCGCCCGCCTCGGGCACGCGCGCTACGGCCGCGAGTTTTGCCGGTACGCTCTCGATTGAGCCAAAGGTTTGACGCGTGCGCAGCGCCCAGCGCAAGCCGACGCTGCCTCGGACGCGGTCGCTGAGCTCCGTGGCGAGCCCGACCAAGGCACTATCGTATAGTACTACGCACTTGTCGGCGCGTGACGACAAGTGGCGTGTGCTTGGCAACCATCTCTGGGACGAGGTATTAGCATGCACGCATGGAACCCTGCACGCTCCACGCGTCACGTAGAAGTGCAAGGCCCTCGCGACTGAGCTCGAGACGACGCTCGCGCTCAGCGGGGCCGCCACGTGCGAGAGCGGCGGCAGCACTCGGTCGTCTCTCTCGGTGAGCCAACTCGGCAATCTCGATGCGTTTGTGAACGGGTACTTGCCGGCACCGCGCCTCTCTCTCTCCACCGCGCCGGCGCCGGCGTGTCCGTTCCGCCTCAGTCCCGCACGGCGAGCCTCGACGTGGCGGCAATGGCGGCAGTACCCCGCGGCGAAGCGCCTGCCGCAGCTGCTGCCCCACGTCACCTACGACGAGCTCTTGCAGCAAACGAGTTATGCGCGCGCGTTAGAGCTCAAACTTAAACGCGAGCGTGAATACAAATGAGAGCAGGAAGAGCAAGAGCGGTAGCGCCATCGTGTTGGACGACCCTATATGCACAAGTTGTCGACACGTCTGTCGTTGGAGGAGAAGGCGAGGATACCCAGAGAGGAGAGCGTGGCCGAGTTGTACTCTTCCACGACAAATTGGGCAGCGTTGACAAACTGCATGAGGAGCGCGGCGTAGATGCCGTTGTTGTTGAACTTGCGTGGCGCGTCCATGAGGTCTTTCGCAATGACACCGGTCTACGAGCGATGAGACAAGTCGTCCACAATTGGAAGCGCCTACCACAGCGTACGGGAAAATGTAGATGGCGGCGTAGAACGTGCCAATGCCGACAAAGCAGACGAACGAGAGCGTGTGCGACGACGACCCGACCATGACGGCGATGCAAAACAAGACCACTAGACAATATTCTCCATCGCAAAAACGACGGGATCATCGAGATAAAGCGTACCACCCACGCACATGAAGCCGATCGTGAGTCGATGCAGGCGGCGGCTCGTCGGGTTAAAGGGCGTCATGAGCATAAAACCCAGTGTGGCCAAGAGTTCGGCCGCCGACTAAACAGGGAGAGAGTGCGAAAAGGTCGAGAGAGAGGAATGATTACGATGCCCTGGACAGCCGAGTTGGCTTCGTTCAAGCCTTGCACGTACAAATCGACTTGGTCGTGCGAGCACGGCGGGTTGGCAGAGAGCGCGGGGCACCCGCCGTAGACATTGCTGCCCCACCACTTGAACTTTTGGTTATCAAACGCCATCCACGCCATCCTAGAGTGCACGATAGGTATCGAGAGATGCAAGATCACAATGCTACGGACCAAAGGAAGAGCTGCAGGACGCAGAGGAGACGGAGCTCGTACGGCGCCGTCACGATCGTGTCCCAGACCTCCGAGACCATGTGCCCCACGGTCGTAATACGGCGCGTCGACGCGTCCTGTGGCTTCTCGGGCCGTAAATCTAAGCCCAAAATGAGCCTCGCACCCCAAGAAGATCGTCGCACAGAGTGACGTGGCCACCGTCACGACAAGGACGCTGGCGACAATCGCGCACGTCTGGAAGAGGTTGCGCTTGTTGATCTCGTCGCCGTACACGACTTCGGTGCCGCCGCCGAGCAGCGCCATCCCGAGCGCAACGCCGACGCTGTGGTAGATGCCGCCGCAGGCTTGCGCGTGGACCTAGACAAGTCTAGCCTGCAGCGTGTCGCAGAATTCCTTTACTTGGTAGCCGCGCGGAATCTCGTCAAAGAGGCGGGTGCGCAAGACGAGCTAATGCGATATACTATGACCACTATTGTCGTCGAGGTATTTGTACCTCGAGGGTCGTGGCACCGTGGACGAGCACGACGACATTGAGGACGTGGAAGAGGAGGTGGTCGCCAAAGAGCGTCTGGGAGCCGCCAAACAAGAGCACGCTCACGACGATGAGCACGGTGCCGACGAGGAGGCTCTTGTTGCGCCGACCCCACGACGAGTACGACCGGTCCGAGTGGCCGCCGATGAGCGGCGCGACGAAGAAGGCGTAGAAGGGCGGAAGGTACCGCGGGATGAATTTGGCGATGCCCATGGACGTCAAGAAGGAGGTGAGGAGCTCGAAGACCGTGCAGTCTACGAGCACTCGATGATTCAAGACCGGCGGCAGGATACGTACTCAGCAGCGTGAGGCCGACCCAGGGCAGCGCCAGGATGAGGCTCGTCGCGACCGGATGGCTAGCATCCCGCTTCTTGGGGTGCGAGTGCAGCGTCTCGGCGCGCACGTAGGACGCATTGACGGTCCCGACCGGCGTGAGGTGCGTCAAGACCTGGTCGTCGCTGCTCATGTCCTCGTGCTCCTGCGTGACGCTCGAGAGCTCGATGCGGAGGTCCTCGGACGCATGGGCGCTGTGCACGCTGCTGTCGTCGTCGCCGAGCAGGCGGACGCCAGGCTCCATCGCTCTCGGAAGGACGGGAAATGTAGCATCCGGATACCCTATCAGGTAACGGGACATGTCACAGCGCCTTCTTGCGTCAACTTCTGCATGCAAGGTCAATCGCGCCGAAGGACAACGTGTGCACCTTGGTGCAGACGCATTGCGTCAAGCTTGCTGACCGGTATGTTTATCTATATGTTCGTAGACAATATGTGACAACAGATTGGCAACCGGGTGCCGGCTGGCGTCCATGCGTCGGCCAGGTGGTGCTTCTCGGTAGCGACCGCTTCAAGGTCCGAGAGAAGCTCCTGGGCGCCGACTCGAAGACCGTGGCGATGTCGTACAAGGGCCTGCACCGCACATACTACAGCGACAGGCAGGCCTTACATGTTAACACTCTGATCTTGAGGGGTGCCCTTCCTGGGCCCTCGGATTGGTCGGATCTCTCACGGGCGCGAAGCCGGGTCTTAGGTTCCATCATAACCGTCCGACGCTACGGTACTTTATACCAGCAGTCTGCGATCTGTGCTGTTGATAATGTTGTTTTCAAAAACGAATTTCGCGTCTTAATGTTTCTACCCGCATTTCACTAAGGGGTTTAAGGGGCTAACGACCCTTTGGGGGATCGATCCCTGGACCTTTCCAGCTGTGAAGTGCGATCAGAGACCTTAACCGCTGGGCTATTCTACCCGTACGCTTTTGCAGGGCTGGGGCTTGTAGCTATCGATGTCGTCGTCTGAGATCGTCTTGGCATTTGTATGCTTGCATTTATCACGACACACGCGCCTCTCCATGCGTGTACGAATATCCATGTGTGATATCGAGCATACGCAATGCAAATAGTTTCCATTTCTCACACTCTCACATGCATGTGAAACGGCGACACACTGTGTGAAGTACCGACGGCAGTTTCACGGGATGTGAGAAATGTAACTCACAAAATGAGAGCTCCTTTCTATTTTACGCCAAATCTCACAAGCGTGGTGAATGTGGGATATGTGGTCAATGGCAACATACAAAATCTGGTATGATGGCAGATGTCCATTTCAGCGCATTGATTTCACCGAGCATTCAAGCCAAGCGCAGCGTTACCGCGAACGAAAACCAGCCTACTTCGGCGATTAACAGTGTAGTGGCTCAGCGACCGACAATCCTGGCGCCAGCTCCGGTTGCGGTATTCCAGTGATACCTTCGTTGTGAAGTCATTGAGAGGAAAGCGGTCGCCTTGGCGCGTCAGTCAATGGGTCACTAGCGCCGCGTCCAGCGTGCCACGTAGCACGCAGGAAATGCTCATCCAACAACTTTGGTACTACCGAGTCGAAAGCCGATGTACGAGCTGCCACGTCACTTCCGTCACGCGCGGAATTGACGAGGCCAAGAAGAGGCAGAGATTCGTCGACGCGACAATGCGCACGGGCGAAAGCTGTACACTAGGGTGCAAGGACCTGCTCAGTACCCTCGTGGTACGCTGGGAGCGGTAGGTCTGTGGATCGTCACCGAACATCCAACTTCAACCTACACCTGTGGTCGGTCGTGTTCGCTCCATCGGTAAATATATACTACAATCAAGCCACCAGCGAGCACACAATCTGGGTGCGTCGGGCCTTTGCGCGGCTTCTTGGTGCCTGCCAATGACGGACAACGCACTCGTCGGGTCATTCGCCGCGGGGCACGGTTCCGGCGATGCCATTGGCTGCTCAGATGGGCACGGTATCTTGGTGTGCGATCGGTCAACGGCCGTTTCTTCCATACAAAGCTTCATATCGATCCAAGTTGAAGGCTACATGCACGCAAGTCGGCGGAAGATCGCCATGGATCGAAAGGCGGATCGTCATTTTCCCTTTTGGCTCGACCTCCCAACACGATATCATGTCAGACTACACGACGCTGCAAGTGCACGCTGGCCAAGAAGGCGGCGAGCCGGGCTCGCGCGCGCGCGCTGTGCCGATCGTCGCGTCGAGCTCGTTCCTTTTCGACAACACGGACCACGCCGGCAAGCTCTTTGGCCTCGAGCAGTTTGGCAACATCTACTCGCGCATCATGAACCCGACCAACGACGTGTTTGAGAAGCGCGTGACGGCGCTCACGGGCGGCGTCGCGTCCGTCGCGTGCGCGTCTGGCCAGGCGGCGCAGGCGCTGACGATCTTTACGATCGCGCAGGCCGGCGACAACATCGTCTCGACGTCGTCGCTCTACGGCGGCACGTACAACCAGTTCAAAGTCGCGTTCCCGCGCCTCGGCATCAACGTCAAGTTTGCGGACCACGCCAAGCCCGACTCGATCGAGAGCTTGATCGACGACAACACCAAGGCCATTTACGTCGAGACCATCGGGAACCCGGAGCTGGAGGTGCCGGACTTTGAGGCGATTTCCGCGATCGCCAAGGCCCACGGCATCCCGCTCATTGTTGACGACACGTTCGGCGCGTGCGGATACCTCGCGCAGCCCATCAAGCACGGCGCCGACATCGTTGTGCAGAGCGCGACCAAGTGGATTGGCGGCCACGGCACGACGATCGGCGGTGTCGTCACGGACGCCGGCACCTTCAACTGGGGCAACGGCAAGTTCCCGCTCATGGCCAACCCGAGCCCGGGCTACCACGGCCTCAACTTTTGGGACACCTTTGGGCCCGGCGGCGTCCTCGGCGTAAACGCGTGCTTTGCGATCCGCCTGCGCGTCGAGTCGCTGCGTGATTTTGGCGCGTGCCAGAGTCCGTTTGGGTCGTTCCTCCTCCTCCAGGGCCTCGAGACGCTTTCGCTGCGCGTCGACCGAGCGAGTGACAACGCGCTCGCGCTCGCGCACTGGCTGCTCGAACACCCGAGCGTCGCGTGGGTCTCGTACCCGGGCCTCGAGTCGCACCCGTCGCACGCGCTCGCGAAGAAGTACTTGCACCGCGGCAAGTTTGGCGCCGTCTTGACGTTTGGTGTCGTCGGCGGCCTCGAGCGCGGCAAGTCGTTCATCAACAACGTCAAATTGGCGAGCCACCTCGCCAACGTCGGCGACTCCAAGACGCTCGTGATCCACCCCGCGAGCACGACGCACCAGCAGCTCACGACGGAGGAGCGCGCGGGCTCGGGCGTCAAGGAGGACCTCGTGCGCGTCTCGGTCGGCATCGAGCACATTGATGACATCAAGGCCGACTTTGACCAGGCGCTCCGCGTCTAACCTAGTATGTGGAGCGGTATCCCATGCGAATACAGTAGTGTTTTTTATGTTGAGCAAGGTATTGTGAATGACGTGGCAGCACCAGGTGACAGTGTCCAGAATGTGCAATGGAACCACACCACAGACGATATATTCTACCGCATCAACTACAACTCGCCCTCGCTCTTGTATGTTGAGAAGCGACATTTGCTGCGTCTTCCTCACTGGGCGCGTCTTCGCACCGTACGTATCGCGCAGGGTTGCTTAAGAACTCTGCATGTTTGGACACCGAAATTATAGACTCCTGCGCTAGAAACGGCAGTCTTGTTGGCCACCGTGCCCGAGCAATCAATGGTGACTTCACGACATGGGTTCTACCAAGTTGCCTCAGCGATTTTGGGTCGGCTTCGAGGCTCGCACAGGCAGCTCGAGTGGCTTCAGCCGCAGCTCGGATGATGGAAGAGCCAATATCTCGAAGCGCGGATGGCCACGGGTACAGATGCATGGATTATTGCAGAGGGGTTGGGAGCAGTCCTTCTGCATCGACGCTTCCGTTTGGAAGCGACGAAGTGCGACATGGTCAATCGCCCACAGCCAGTGCGAAGCGGCAGCAAAGTCAACTCATTCTTGCCGACGCACTGTCTGTTTGAAACTGCTCTCACAAATAGACGCGCCGCGGGGATGCACCGGCCCGATTTGGGCAAGCTCGCCGTCTTCTTTGGCACGAGTGACGCCGACTGGACGCAGTCGGGGCGTCAGTTCCTCCTCGGCGTCGCGTACACTCAGGCCATCCTTGGCTTCACAAACTTTCTCTTCGCAGGGGTCATCCTCTGGAGCTTCACGGACGGCGACGCCAAACTCGTGGATGCAACGTCGCCCAAGACGACTGCGATCGTGTTTTGGCTCCTCGCACTCTGCTACGCGTATGCACTGTGGCCGTCCAGCGGCGGCTCGCGCGTCTTCGTGAGCTCGTCACCCACCGTCAAGCACCTCCCGGCCATGCGGCGGCTCGCAGCGATTCGGCCGTCGCCCAACGTCGAGCTTGGCATGAGCCACACGGTTGTGATCATGTGCCAGACGTACTTGGCGCAGCTCATGGCGTCGACGCTCACGCAAGGTGGCGTTGCGACCACTTACGGCGCCATGGTGGTCCTCAACGCGACCGTGACGCCGATCTTTCTCTTCACCAAGAGCGCGCGATCCAAGCGCCTCCTCCTCGACCTCCTCGACGCGTTCCTCTCGTTTACGCTCACGATCGGTATCTCGCTCGTCATGTTTCTTCTGCCGCTCTTCCGTCATCAGTTCTTCTCGACCTGGGGCACGAACCACCCGTGCGAGTGGTATGCGTCGTACCTTGGTGCGATCCGCATCTTCCTCGTCATGCCGCCGCTGCAGCTGGCCTCGACTGTCGTGCCCAACCTCGTCGTCGTGCTCTCTCTGTGCCAGACGCTCTCGACGCTCCGGACGATGCCCATCAAGTTGCCGTCCCTGCGCACGACGGTGTCGCCGTCAAGCAGACTCAGCATCTCGAGAGCCACCAAGTCGGGCCCCGAGGTCTGCCGTGCGTCGGCCTCTCTCTCGTCGCTCGTGCACAGTGCCAGCGGCGAGTGGCGAAAGCGCTTTACATTCGACCAAGCCAACATGCGATTCGTCGTGACCATCTTTTTCTTGAACGTTGCGTGGGGGCTTGCAGTTCTCGGGCTCTTGCTGCACGCGGTGTATGTACCGAGGACGTGTCCGAGCTATTGCGTCGCGAGCTCGCTTCCGTGGTTTGACGACGGGTGCTCGTGCATTTACGCGCGCCTCCAGTGCGCGGTCGACAACGCCACGGTTGACGTCGACAGCTTCCTTACGGCGCACGCGCTCGGCACCAACGTTCTCATTTTGAAGACCGTGGGCTGTCGCGCGCCACCGTTGCGCCACGTCATGTCCTTTCCACGCCTGTTTCGACTGGACATTGAATTCTCCAATATGACGTCGTGGGACGTCCGGCAGCTCCCGCCGTCGCTGCGCATGCTGATCTTGCGCTACAGCAACCTGAGCTCCATTCCGCCCGCGTTGCAAGCCCCCGGTGACGCGCTGCGCGTCCTGCACTTTATCGGGTCGCCCGTCGGCGACGTGCCGGGGCCGGTGTGGGCCAACTGGACGCAGCTGACGACGCTGTGGCTGTCGGACACACAAATGAGCCGCATCCCAGACGCCATCGCCGATCTCACGAGTCTCGAGGATTTGGTGCTGAGCGCGAATCGGATAACATCGCTTCCGCCGTCGCTCCTGCAGCTGGCCACCCTTCGGCGTCTCGCGCTCGACAGCAACCCCATCGCAACGTTCCCACAGGCGCTGTTGGAGGCCAAACCAAAGCTGGAGCTGGCGCTCGACCACACGCAGATATCAGCGGTCCCCGACTCGACCGTCGTGCGCGCTGCGATAGCATCCGGCGCCGTCCAACTACACGCGACGCCGTTTTGCGCAACGGCCGTCGGCGCGAGCTTTGCCTCCGGCGCGTGCTCACCGACGTGCTCGTCCACGTGCTCGGTGTTTCACTGGCGCGACGACTTCTGCGACCCGCTGTGCTACTCGCCGTCGTGCGCGTTCGATGGCGGCGACTGCCCGATGGTGTGACGTGTCATTCCAACTGTACACTTTTGATTGATTAAAAATGACGAGCCGACTGGAGCTCGCAGTGTGCTTGCACGCGTGATCGATGAGCAACAAATGCATGTCTCCGCTTGTTGCCACACAGTTTAGTGCATCAGAGATGTTGCTCGCCTCGGTCGACTGCACTGTCTGTATACGAGCGACGAATGCCGCTGTTCATTGGCTGTATGTACTCTTGGTCTAGTACAACATTCCTAGAGCGTAGATCCCCGTCCCTGTCTCAAAACGGCCATTGCGCTTGATTCACTATTGCAGTGTTTTTACACGCGTGTGAAAGTGTGAGAAACACAATGTATACATGTTTGTAGTAGTAAATTTCTCACCAGCAGCAATTCACACGCGTGAAAAGGTGTCGAGGCGTGGTAAATGGCAGCATACAAACACCAAGACGATTGCGGCCAACAACATCTAGTGATACAAACGCAATGCGTCCAAAAGCGGGTGCGGTAAAATGGCCCAGTGGTTAACACTTCCAGCTCGCAGCGGGAAAGGTCCAGGGATCGATCCTCTCAATGGACGGTAGTGCCCACGATCCCTTAGCGAGTGTAAAAGCGAATAATCCACGAATTCTTTTATTTCCCAACCACCATACGCTGGACGCATCTGCAGACTGCTGTGATAGACTAGCATTGGAAATGTCGGCCAACGAAATGGACTAATACGCAGAACTGTCTGTTCTCTTTGGAGAAGGTCACGGGAGTGCGATGGCAACGGTATTCTGCAACTCAAAGTGCTGGTGGCCGTGACACGCCCGTCGTCGCCAGCTCCAAGAGGACAGTACCAGGTAGTAGTACCAGGAGTGAGCAACTTGTCGAGGTCTATAGACTCGGAGTTGTAGCTTGAGAAGGACAGACGCAAGTGCTTAAATAGAGGAGTACACTAGCGTAATTACAGCTCGACGGTTCTAAAGGAAACGCGATGACGCGAGGTGGTCGCCGCCTCGCTCTTCGTACTCGCGCTTGGAGACCCAGAGCTGCTGGAACGACCCGAGGGACGCGAGGATCGAGCCGCCGATCCACGTGCTAAACTTGCGCTCGACCGGTGTCATCTGCGTGATGCGCACCTTGAGGCTTGACGGCACGAGCTGGCTCATTTCCCAGTGGACACGCTCCGTGAGCCCAGGGAGTGCGCTGCCGCCACCGCACAAGATCAGATTGTTCAAGAGCTCCCGACGGACATCCACGTCGCTCGACTGCACCGCGCTGTAGAGCATGCGGTGCAGGCCCTTGGACGACGTGGCTACGGTCGTCGAGTCGGCGCCAATCACGTCCGGGTGCATGAGCTTCTCCGGAATCTTGAAGCGCTCGGTACCAACGAGCACCACCTGGCCGTCGGGCAGTTCGTACGGATCTGCGGGTGTGGACTCGGCGAGCTCTTCGTTCAAGGTCGTCTCGGGCATGAGGCACGTGGACTCCTTGAGGTCGCGCACGACTTCGAGACGCCGGAACTGCAAGTACGCGTCCGACATGGCGAGCGCCGCGGGGACGTCGCCGTCACCGTATTTTCGTACACACGGCTGGATCTCTACCTTGTGCTTGTCGAGAAGCATCTTTTGCAGCTGAAGGCCCAAGGCTTCGCCTCCTACAACGGATCGCTGGGCGGATCCGTGGAGCGCAAACCCGTCGACGACAGGCACCACGCGCGTGCTGCCGGCGCCGACGTCCGCGACGAGCGCAGTCGACTTGCCAAATGAGAACGCGTTGAGCACGGCGTCCTTCGCAACGAAAAGGCTGGCGCGCGAAAGGTCTCAAACATCAGCTCCATGTACTTGGGCGCGACCGCCATATCAAAGGGCGAGAGCGATGCCAGGATCGCGTGCTCGGACGGATTAGCATGCAGCTGCTCGAATGCATGCGTCCAGAGAGTCTCCACGACGTCCCAGTCGTACGCGTTCTTGTCGTCGACGAGCGAGATAGCTTGCGGCAGCGCGTCAATGTCCCTTGCCGCGTACAGCGCCGACTGCCCGAGGACCGATCGCGGGGCGTTCGGCTTGGAGCCAACGATCGACGGGACGATGCAGTTGGGCGTGTCCTCGCCTGCGTAGCCGAACTTGGAGCTGAGCGAGCCAACGTCGCCGACGAAGGCCCCGACCTCGTCGCCGCAGTACATGCTGCGCCCGAGGAAAAATATCGCGTGTGTGGTAGCCAACGTGGGCCAACACACCCCGGGGCACACAAGATTGCAACGGACACAGTGCGCGATTCGATTTGTACACCGGGGTACACTACAATTGCGCGTCAAAGGATAACAACACGCCATTTTCTGAGGCGAGAACCATGGTGGCGACATCCCTATGCCTCCAGACGATGCGCATGGCTCCGTATCACCATACAAGTATTCTTTCGCTGTATCAAAGGAGCGTCCGCCGCTCCATCGCTCAAAGACTGTGCCCTCGTTTGGGATGGACACATATTGTTGCGTGCGAATAGCCTCCTACGGTGTTCAAGATGACCAATCATCCGTCGTGGCCGGATTTACTACATTCGACCAGCATGGGCAAGCGCAAGCATGGCGCGGCCTTTGACGCGCGGGCCATGAAGCAGCTGAAGGGCAACAAGATGGACAAGCGCTCCAAGACGCAGGCAACGACGCAGCTGTACACGCCTGCGGATCGCATCCTCGTGCTCGGCGACGGCGGTGCGTACCACGCCATCGGCACGGAAATGCTGACCCTGCTTAGACTTCTCGTTCTCCAAGGGACTCGTGGCCCATCGCGGCGGCTCTGGCGTCAACCTCGTTGCAACGTCGTACGACTCGACGAGCGAAGTGCGCAAGGTAAGCCACGCATTTCGTCCAACGACGCTCTATATCGCTGGAGTAGAAGTACCCGAACGCGGCCGCCTGCATCCAGTCGATCACGCAGGCCAAAGCGCATGTGCTGCACGGCGTCGACGCCACGAAGCTCTCGAAGCTGCCGCACTCGGACGCCGTGCCGGCGCTCTTTGATTACATCATCTTCAACTTTCCGCACAGCGGCGAGCAGCGCGTCCATATCAACCGCGCGCTCCTCCTCGACTTTTTCGAGAGCGCGCGGCCCAAGCTCGCGCTTCGTGGCGAAGCGCACGTCACGCTCAAGACCAAGCCGCCGTACTCCAACTGGCTCGTCGAGGACCAAGCGCGGGCCAACGGCTTCGTCGTCAAGGAGCGCCGGCCGTTCCGCATGCAGCTCTTCCCAGGCTACAACCACCGCACGACCGAGCCGGATGCAAAGAAGTTTGAACCCGACCAGTGCGTCACCTACGTCTTCATCGTCGACCGCTCGCGCGTACGCACGCGACCTATTCCGTGACCTTGCAGGACGATCTCATATTCCGTAGTTTCCCGTCATGACCGACCTGCCGCCCAAGACCAACGACGCGTCGAAGGTGGCTACCGTGGCAACCACAAACAAGACACCAATGTCCAAGGCCGTCGAGAAGCCCAAGGCAGTCGAGAAGACCAAGGCCGTCGAGAAGCCCAAGGCAGTCGAGAAGCTTAAAAAGGCAGACAAGCCCAAGGCGGTGACCAAATCCACTGCGACGCCAACCAAGGCGCCCGTTGCTGCCAAGACCTCGTTGCCGTCGTCCGTGCAGGACGACATCCGGGCCTTGATTCTTGCCAAGCTCGCAGAGAAGACAAAGACCACCTAATCAACTGCATCCAGTACTCCAACACGATAACGCATGTCAACCCGTAGCATTCATATTACCTACGCCTTCTTGCGCAGAAAGGCGTATGCTGCGCCCGTGACACCGACGACCGCCGCGACCAGCATCGTCTTTTGGCGGTTCGCTCGACGCTGGAGCTTCGACTCGGACATGACGCTCGCCGCGCCCGGCTGCTTGGGCGGCATCTTGGTCTCGTCAATTGGTAACGCCTGGAGCCGCGCATCAATGTCAAACTCGTCCTCGGCCCCTTTCGTCGTCGGTTCCTTGACCGTGAGGCGCACGTACGACGCCCGCCGGCGGCGCGCTTGGGCGACTGCGAGCTCGAGATCTGCGTCAACAAAGAGCAGCACCGTTTCGCCGTCGTCTTCGTCAATGTAGTGGACCGTTGCCGCCGCCCCGAGTCGCGCCGAGACGTGCTCCTTGAGAGCCGTCAAGGACGTCGATGACGCTGTGAACCGGTGCGTGTTGCCGTCGCGGTCCACGAGCTTGTACACAAAGAGCGCTTCGGGCGCGTTGGTGACGACCGCCGGCGCTTCGTTGGGCGGTCGCAACGACGTCGGCGTCGGCGTCGGCGGGTTGAACATCGAGTTCCAAAACTTGTTCCAGAGCGGATTGCCGCTGGCCGTGTGCTGCTTTTGGAAGCTGCCCATTTGGTGCACAACGCTGCACGTGACTTGGAGCACGTCGGCGAGGCCAACAACCGCGCCGTCGTCGTTGAGCACGGGAAGGTGGAGAAACTTGCCGTCGTGCATCGAGTGGAGTGCGTCGAGGATCGTCGTGTCGAGGCGCGCGCAGTCGGGGTTGCCCGTCATGGCATCGCGCACGAGGCAGCTCGACGGACTCTTTCCGACCGCGAGCACGCGCCGCATGAGGTCCTTGGTCGTGAGGATGCCGACCATCTCGCCGTTGGGCCGCAGCACCATGACTAGACAGTACCACGCGTTATACTAGGCGACCTTCACGAAGGATTTAAACCGGCGCTCGAGTTCTTTTGCAGCATCAACAACGAAGCTTGACGCGTCGTGGCGCCATCGGCAATCTCGGGCACGTCGACCGAGCCGTCAATGATGTTGCGCAGCGTCGGCAGAAAGAGCTAGGGTAGATTTTCGCGTGAGATCTTGTTGGATGCATCAAGGTCACGAGACCGATTCCCGCATCATCTCAAAGAGGCTGGCCTCGGTGCCCGTCATGTTGGCGTCCATCTGCAAACACGCAATGATGATGATGCCAAGAACCAAGACGATAGTAAGTAGTACCAAGGTTTCGGTAAACTGGTTGGACGAGGCAATGTAGGCTTGCTCAATCTTGGAGATGGCATCATAGAGGCACTTGGCAATGTCCAAAATGCCCACGACTAGGCATCTCTGGATTTAGATACGACCGACGGAAGAAGGCAGTCGCACCGATCCCGTTCTCGGCCACGGGCAAGTGCCGGAACTGGCCCGAAATCATCTGCTCGAGGGCTTCGATCGCGCACGCACGGGGGGAGACGCACGACGGGTTCAGTGTCATGACGTCCACGACGAGCGTCGTCTCCGGGTCAAGCCCCATCGCAACCACACGAAGCGCAATGTCCTAGATTCTGTCCATGAGGTATGGTGCCCCAATGAGGCGGGAGGACGTACCTTGTCGGTCAAGATGCCAGTCAGCGTGCCGGATGCATCCGTCACGAGCGTCGCCTCCGTGCGGTACTTGACCATGGCTTGGACGCACTCGGACACGGACGCTGTCTCGAGCTGCAGGAGCGCTTTTGATGGCCGCAAGCGCCGGACGCTCGCGTTCATGGTCGGTTGTTCCTTGTCGGCGCTCGAGCCTTTCCGCGACGACCGCCGGCTGCGCTTCCGCACTGGCGTTGGGCTAGGTGTGGCGGCTTCGCTATAGTCGCTGCTGCTGGCGGGCGGCTTGCCTTCCAGCTCGCTGCTTTCCTCGCGCGAGTCCTGCGTCATGTCGAGGTCGAGCTCCAAGCTGCCATGCGCCTCGACCTCGCCCGAGTCTTGGGCGCTCTCGCGGCTGCGGTGCAGCATGGCCTCGACCTCCTTCGTGTCTCTCTCGCGCCGGGTCGCCGTCTTGGTCGAGAAGACGACCGTCGTCGCGCGGTCCCGTGGCCGCGTCGTGCTCTGCATGTTGTCAAGATCTTTTAAACTGGGCTTCCTTCTCACGTGACTCCACGTTGAACTTGATCCGGATTGGCCATATTCCACAGATTTTGGACCAATGAGATGCGCACACCGACTCTTCGCCGCGGGGTTGATTTTTGGCAACGTTGAAGTCGCTTCGAATGAGCCAGTGCCCGTGAGCTGGCAGCATACGACGCCAGCAGGCGATCTCCAGTCATATTGAGCGTGTACCCGCAGAGCGTCTAGCAGCAGCTACGTCCGCTGGCTCGCCCCAGAGCCAAAGCCAATGCAGCACGAAAACGTCAGGTAGTTGGTTGGGTAGCCACCGCATCTTTCGAAGCCGGGCAAGCGTAGAAGCCCAGTTGCGCATTCCCTGCATGGTAGGGTCCATGACGCTGCGTTGATAGATGGTGACTCGCTTTGCTGGCAGCGCCTCGTGTGCCCAAGTCGTGATACACAATCTCATGGCAAGCACGACTCCGCGCCGACAGTTTGTGTCGCTCGCTGTGCCAAAACACCCAAGTGCTTCACACTGGTGCTTGGACGGTGTCGATCCACCAGATGGACACGGTGCAGGACGGTTGAAGCGGTGGTATTCTGGCGCGCTTTTACGTTTTCGTTTTGAGCGTTTTCGTTTTTAGCGTTGAGTTTGAGTGTTGAGTTTGCACTTGGGTGGGATTTGCCTCGATCAGTTGACGTCGCATGTCTCGGCACATCCAAGTCCACATACACTGCAGTCCTCGACGACAAGAAGACGCGCGGATCCCCTTCGCCGACACGGCAGAACGACCTTGAGGCCCATCGCACGAAATCCACACGCCCTCTCCCACGCACCGCGTGTTGGGTTCGGCGCGGGCGGGATGAGAAAGGGCAGCGTGCGGCATTGAGATTGAGAGTGGCCGGGCCAGTAGTGGCGGGTATCCGGATACGAACCGGCGTTGCCCGCGGCCGTCAGTTTGGTTGGAGCATCATGGAGCGGTACCAGAAGCTCGAGAAGGTCGGCGAAGGGACGTACGGCGTCGTGTACAAGGCCAAGGACCGCGTGACGGGCGAGATCATCGCGCTCAAGAAGATCCGGCTCGAGGCCGAGGACGAGGGCATCCCATCGACGGCGATCCGCGAGATCTCGCTGCTCAAGGAGCTGCAGCACGCCAACATTGTGCGCCTCTACAACATCGTGCACACGGAGCGCAAGCTCACGCTCGTCTTCGAGTACCTCGACCAGGACCTCAAAAAGTACCTCGACGTGTGCGAGAAGGGCCTCGAGAAGCCGATTCTGAAGAGCTTCCTCTTTCAGCTCCTGCGGGGCATTGCCTACTGCCACCAGCACCGCGTCTTGCATCGGTACACGCGCTCTTGTCGTCTCCATGTGGCTCTAACGTTGCGCTACCTGCAGCGACCTGAAGCCCCAGAACCTGCTCATCAACCGCGAAGGCGAGCTCAAGCTCGCCGACTTTGGCCTCGCCCGCGCCTTTGGCATTCCCGTTCGCAGGTACACGATTGCTGTTGGGAAATGGAGCTCAATGCATGTAGCTACACACACGAAGTCGTGACGCTCTGGTACCGGTCGCCCGACGTGCTCATGGGCTCGCGGTACGACCGTCCTCGTGCGTCCTATTGATGGTAAGCTCACGCGCATGGTAGGAAATATTCGACTCCCGTGGACATTTGGAGCATTGGCTGCATCTTTGCCGAGATGGCCAACGGCGGCCCGCTCTTTGCCGGCACGTCCGAGGGCGACCAGCTCGACCGTATCTTTCGTTTGCTTGGCACGCCGACGGTCGACATCTACCCGGGCATGGTCGACCTGCCCGAGTACAAGGTACGCATGTGAGGCGAGGCTCTTGATCGCTCACACATGACCTCTGTAGCCCGATTTTGCCATGTACCCGCCACCGGACAACCTAGCGCACCTCGTGCCGTCTCTCGACCCCGCAGGCCTCGACCTGCTCGAGGTAAACGTGTGCTGTCGCTATGGTGCTGACTCGCAACGAATGTAGCAAATGCTGCGCTACGACCCGGCAAAGCGCATCACGGCTGCGGACGCGATGAAGCACGCCTATTTTAACGATCTGTCGTCGGCGATCACGGACGTCGGCAAGTAGGAACCATTCCACTATCATCTGTTTGTCGACTTGTAAATCATCAAGGCCATTCTGTGAGATTGTTGCTCCGTCGGCTCAACCGATCTCGCCTATGTTGTCTGTGCAATCACTGCAATCGATCGACGTCAGTCAGGTGGTTTGTGTGTTGGACTGGACCAGACGGACCGGGTATGATCACATGGCGTCACACAATGCTCCAGAGCGCGCTCCTGCGCGACTGTTTCAACTTGATACAATATTCATACTACATGGATAAAGTGTGAGCAATATGTTTTTTAAGTTAAATTGGCAAAGCTGCCGTGGCGCTCCTGCACGAGCCAGACGTCGTCGACGGCCTTGCCGTTGAGGTGCGACGCGGCGGGGTTGGCCGGGTCGCACTCGATTTGCGCCCAGTGTAAATGCGATGCGTTGGCGATCGTGAGCCGGCCGTAGCCAAAGATGTTGTTGCGGAAGGCGTCCCACGGCGCGGCCGTCCGCAGAAACGGCTTGCGGACCGGAAGGACGCGGCTCTGGCCCGCGGCGCCCGTGAGGATGTGCGTCGTCGCCTGCATGTTCCGTGTCCGGCGCTCGGTGATCCCGTCGTAGATGTCAAACATGCGTTCGTAGTTGTGCTGGTGGCCGCAGAGATAGAGGTCGACGCCGTGATTGTAGAAGAGCGGCTCGAGCGCCGTGCGGAGGACTCGCGCGGGCCCGTCACACTCGGTGTCGGACGTGCAGTAGAGCGGGCGGTGGCCGACGACGATGATCCACGGCGCCGCCGTTCGGTTGGCGTTGGCGGTCGCGAGGTCGGCGTCGAGCCAGGCGCGCTGGCGCGCTTCCACGTTCGGTTCGTCGACGTGGCTCGTAAAGTACACTTCGGTGTTGACAACGACGAAGTGCACGAGGCCGACGTTGTACGAGTAGAACCAGTTGTTCCGCAGTTGCTGGCCCTGGATCGAGACGGTGCCGGCGTTCGCGGGCATGAGCTGGAAGCGGTACGTGTAGTGCGAGAAGTGCTGCTTCACCTCGTGGTTGCCCATGGCCACCATGAACGGCACGGTCGCCGCGATCGGCTCGATCTCGGTCATAAAGATGTCCCCGACGACGCCTCCCGCGCTGTGCAAGTTGTACGCGTAGTCGCCGACCGAGATGACGGCGTCAATGTCGCCCCGCGCGACTTCCGACTGCATCATGGGCAGCGTCGCGGCGTTCTGGTACCCAATGTCGCCCGTCACGAGCAGTCGGAGCGGCGCCGGCGCATCGTCGACGCCGCGCGGCGTCGTGAACGAGTAGAGAATCGACCGACTGTACGCATCGTTGCCAACGTAGTAGGCGTAGCGCGTGTTGCTTCGGAGCTGCACCGCCGCGGCCACGTGCTCGTACCGCGCGCCAAACACGATCGAGTCGGCGACAAAGGTCCGTGGCGCCTCTCCGTCATCGATGTCTGCACGCACGACGAGGACGTGGCGGCCGTTGGTGCACTCGGGTGGGGTTGCCCATTGGATGGTAAACGTGCTGGGTGACGCGCCGTACGCGGCATGGATCCGCGTTGGGCGGCACGCAAAGCCGTGCGAGAGCGAGTAGTCGACGTTGTGCCCGAGACGGTGCCGGCTCGAGTACCCGTGGTGGTGCGACCCGACGATAAACTCGTACGCGGCGGCGGGGTCGGGCACGGAGAAGGACACGACGTGCGTCGTGATGTTGCCGTCGGCGTCGCGGTCCGCTTCGCTGTAAATGGACGAGTATAACTGACCTTGGCCGACGGGCCGGAACTGGACGTGGCCTTTTCCAGCACCGCACTCGACCCAGCCGTCGTCGTTCTCGTTGCTGCTCTTGTACATCCGGTGCGTGCGCCATGTGATCGAGGCGTTGCCGGCGGCGTCGACGGTCGAGACAATGTCGTACGGCACGCAGTTTTCGATCCAGCCAGGAAGGAACGGTGTTCCGTCGACGTCGTCCGTGTCCGACTCGTCGTCGAGCTCGTCGGGCGACAGGACGACGGGATTCAATGGGTGCTGCAAATACCGCAGCGGGACCAGCAGCGCGCGACGTTCGACCACGTCGCGCACGACCAGCAGGAAGAGAAGGGTCAGGGCGCCGAGCGCGACGCCAACACGGTGCCGAAGCGACGCCATGGCAAAAGCAAAATGAGGTCGTCGCACGAAGCCGCCCGCGCGTGGACCTCGTGGAGCTTCGGATCCGGTCATTGACGTGCAACCCGCCAGGTAGCAGATGCAGGGGTATACAAAAACAAATAGAATCGAATCTCGCGATTATGCTCGAATCCGGCGGCAACAAAATAAATGAAAAGACACTCGATTTGTATGGTGTTGAAAGGCGGCGCGAGTGACTTGGGTGTGTGGTGATCTTTCAGGCGTGGATCGGTGGAACGACCGTTGGACAACCCGGCAGCGCAAGGTCGACCGTGGAACCTGGCTGCAGTGCGGAAACACAGGCGACCGCGACAGCCTAGCGCCAAGTGTCGATGTACTTGTACCCTCGTGCTCCTTGAGAGTTGCTGTCGGCGCACGCCATCTTGAAGATGGAGTGGTCGCATAGACAGCCTCCTCGCCTTTGGTCTAAGACTGCGCTAGTACCCCAGATTGGGTGTTCTCTCAAAGTATCGCACGCGAGGACAAGATCCGGATCATTGCCGACAAGCGATGTACTTTGCGTCTGCTTGCTAGCTCTCCATGATGTACAAACGGAAGTTTAACGAGCACGTTTTCTGGGTTCTACCTCGACAAACGACGATTGCAGTAGAGAATATTTTGTCACCAACTGCAGGTGTGCACTTGGAGGTTGCTTGAGAAGCAGCCACGTCATTTTCTCTGGTGCGCAGAGAGCCAGAAACCGGAAACGGGCAGTGTTGTCAGTCTACAGGCAGTTAAAAACACCCAAATAACGCCTCTCAAATGCTTGATGGCTCGTCAAAGACGAGAATCGCAACACAAAAGAAAGCCGTACGATGTACTTGCAACGCTCTACTTGTCGGAGCAGTGACGTGCTTGAATAGCGATGGCTGTGGGCAAAACCCCGTCCTCCGTGGCGAGACGGTGCCGTTTGTGCGATCGGTCGTTTCAACCGCTTGTGAGACGCCGCCGTCTGGGTCATCACACGTATCCAAGGCGATCCATTATCACATGGGGCTTTACATGTATTTACCTCTCGCAAGAGTGATCTACTACACTTTATTGCTTGGCGACGATCCTAGAATAGAATGCGCGCGAGTCGACACGTTTATTCAAAGGTAATCTGCTCTATGCGGTGTCGACAACGTCGTGGCAGGCACCCATGATGGCAGGTCCTTGCGCTCATGACGGAGGTCTGTTGCTTTCCATCACGTCATTGCGTGTGGTTAGTCTGTCGTTGGAATGTTGGTTTCCGGATAGTACGGATACCAGCGTGTATCCGGTTGATGGGATTGTCGCCTTGCTCTGCCAGGTCAAGTGCAGCTACCGATGCCAGCGCGGGACGTCTTCTGGAAGCACGTCGTGAAGCGCGTCAACTTTGCCGACGACGCCGAGCGCACCAAGGTGCTAGCGCTCACCGAGCTGACGAAAGGCCTGCGCTGGTCGATCCCGGCGCCCATCACCCACATCCACCGCCACGTCTACGACCAGGTACGCCTCCGTCCGCCGCTCGCAGCTCACGCTGGCGCCTAGATCGCATCGCCGCGCCACGCATACTCGGAGCTCATCGAACGCGACGTGGCGCGCACGTTCTGCATCTTTGATGCGTCGGACGACGAGGCCTTCCGCGCGCTCGAGCCGTCGCTCTTCCGCGTCCTCAACGCGGTCGCTCGCGCCGAGAATGGGTACTGCCAGGGCATGAACTTCATCGCCGCCGTCTTCCTCGAGGCCGGGCTACCTGAAGCTGATGCGTACGCAACCTTTGTCTACCTCCTCCAGCACAAGCACATGAGCCAAGTACATGATGGAGATACATGACCCGCTTCGAGCTCATTCGCGTCTAGTTTTACAAGGACTCGTCGGTCTTCCTGAACGAGTACTTGCAGCGCTTCCAGGTGCGCGTGGCCGAGCTACTGCCCGAGCTCGCGGCCAAGCTCGACGCTGTCGGTTTTGACGTGTACCTCTACGGCATCGAGTGGTTCACGACCATGGTACCGCCGTCTCCACGTCGCGTTCGACTAAATCGAGGCGCATAGTTTGCCTGCTCGTCCAAAATCGAGCTCTCGCACGCCGTCCTGGACCTCGTGCTCGCCGACGTCACGGACGTCATGTTCCGCATCGGCATTGCGCTCCTTCAGGTTCGGCGGTCCTCGGTCACAGAAGACTATAGAGAAATGTTGTGTAGAACGTCGAAGCGCAGCTGCTGTCCATGTCTTTTGACGACCTTTTACGCGACTTCAAGACGGTCACCAAGCACGTGGATACGTACCAGATTGTGATGGCGGCGCTGAGTGTGCCGCCCGTGCCGTCGGCCGTCGCGCACGGCGGCCTCCTTCAGCGCACCGCGAGCGCGACGCGCAGTCCACTGTGGCCCTTTGTGAAGCGACGAACGCTCTCCGAGGCGTGGGACGCAGCGATCGAAGCAGGCGCCGTCCAAACCATGCTCGTGCTCTGGGATGTGTGGCAACAGACGCGTCCCGACCCGACGTCGTCGGTGGTTGTCGCCAACGAAGTACCATTTCTCTTTCTGAAACCATATGTGTGTCTGACGAGTTGCGTGCAGGTGCTGCACCTCGCGACGTGGTACGGCTCGATCGCGATCGCTGTCTTTGCTCTCGAGGTCTTCGTTCTCATCCCAGCGCCTTCTCGCTCATGCATGTGGCAGTAGAAGGGCGCCAATGTCAATGCTGGCGACGAGTGGGAGCTTCGGCCGCTGCACTTTGCTATTGTGCGCAACCAACCCGACATCATTCGCCTCTTGTGGCGGCGCGGCGCCAACATCAACGTCGCAAGCGGTGCAGGGCTGCCGCCGCTCATCGCACGCAAGTCGCCGCTGGAACTCGCGCGGCAGTGGGAGCTCACGCCGGTCGAAGCGAGCGCGGCGCTGGTCGGCGGCGGCGTCTGCCTCGGTTGCAACACGCCGTTCCACGTCTGGAACCACCTTCTGAAGAAGCAGTGTCCGAGCTGCAAAGCGCTCTTCTGCCCGCAGCGGTGCGCGCCCTGCCATAAATGCAGCGTCTCGTCGGCGCTCGTCGAGGTAGTCATGCGTTGACCCCACCACACTGTCATCGGATGGGATGGTAGGCGGCGGCGCCACTCGATTTGCTGTGGCTCTACGGCGTACCGCCACCGACGCAGAATGTGCTCACAGACGACGAGGGCGACGACGACGACGGCAGCAGCACCAATAAGATCCGGTGTTACTCGACGTGGTACTGCAGCATTCTCGACTGCCACGCCAAGTTTTCGCTTTTTGCCAAGCGCCAGCAGTGCTCGATCTGCACGTACTTTGTGTGCCGAAACCACATCACGACCAAGCGCGTCCAGGGCCGCGACTGCAACGTCTGCACCTACTGCGACGCGTGCTAATAAGCCTCTTCATCGATGGACTTCATTTCGCTGACAAACCCACACCCATCAAAAGTGCAGGACTTCTACCATCTGCCACACTGACGTGACGGCCCGCATGGCACGCTGCGAAGCATCTGCGCAGACTCGCGCTCGTCCTTGACGCACCGTTGCCAATTCGGCAGCGTTTCTGTTGAGCCTACTCTGTCACCGTTATAGTTCGCTGCCCTCTCGCTCGTTCCTGAACCTTCGGAGTCCGGTAACCGAGTCAGGTGTCGGGTCCCATCACCCGCTAGTATCTTGTGCCGCATACCGCACGGTGGGAGCTCACGCGGAACTTGTAGCAGCAGCGATGGCGTTGGCAAAGGAGTTGTCGTTTAAAGCACTGGATTCCTCCTATCCTAGCGCTGTCGCGACCATCGTAAGCGTCGGGTGCATGGAGCCGACGTCGATCGCGCACCGATGGCTGGCGACGAATCACGATTTGAAAGTTGCTCCAAATACTCGCCTCCACGTGTCGCAGATCTCCGTCAGTATTGTTTCCATACAAACGTCAAGTATATACGCTATCGCGCGTTTTGATTGGTTGGCATGTCAGCGTCAAACGGCAAACTGAAAAAGGACATTTCCCAAATTTCCCCAACCATGGATGCCACGTCGTCCGTCTCGGGCCGCCTGAAGCGGCTCACGCTGGACAAGGGCCGGTTCCGCGGCTTCTTTGGCAGCTGCGTCAAGACCGACACCGTTCATGTGGTTGCCGACGCGGCCGAGAAGAAGATTACGATCACCAACGAGGCACAGACCGTGACCCACACGACCTTTGACTGCAACACGCAGGCTACGTCGGTCGAGCCAGACGCCGCCAGCGCCCACGCGATGTTGCTCAAGTCTGGCGACGAGCGCGTAACGGTGGCCGCGGCGTCGGCGCCGGAGCAGTCGTCGTGGATGGAAGCGTTCCAGCGCGCCGGCGCCACGATTCGCCGGGCGACGACCATTGACCCGACGCTTGCCAAGTCGTTTTTCGAGCTCGAGAGCTACGACATGCAAGGGCACTGCGTGCCCATGGAGACGTACCGCGGGCGCGTGTGCCTCGTCGTGAACGTCGCATCGGCCTGAGGCCTCACGAAGCTCAACTACACTCAACTCGTCGAGCTCGACAACAAGTACCGCGACCGCGGTCTGCAGATCCTCGCGTACCCGTGCAACCAGTTTGGCGGCCAAGAGCCCGGCACGAACGAAGAGATTATGGCCTTCGTCGCCGGCTTCAACGCGACGTTTCCGTTTTTTGAGAAGGCGGACGTCAACGGCGACAACACGCAACCCGTGTACGCGTACCTCAAGAGCAAGCTCACGGGGACGCTCGGGTCGGCGATCAAGTGGAACTTTACCAAGTTCCTCGTGGATCGCAACGGCCAGCCGTTCAAGCGCTACAGCCCGCAGACGGCGCCGATGGACTTTGAAGCCGACATTCTCCAGCTGCTCGACCAAGCGCAGTAAACGACGCGTCCTTGCTCTGACGCTACAACACCGACAAGAAGGATCTCACATGCATGACGGCGCTTCCTTCAACCTGCACTACAGACAGGAAGCGCTTGAGAAGACTGGGACGCATGCGCGGAGCTGTCAATTGAGTGGACACGCCCTGCGCCGCTGCCCCCGACCGTGACTCTTGGTAGGGCCGTAGACGCCAACATAACGCATCACACATATATTTCGTGCAATCAACAACGCCATGGAGTTTCGATGTAATTTAGAACGGGGCAGACCGCGCCAATTTTATTGCTGTATGACGCCCGGTCGTCGCGAGTACTCGTCCCAGCAGCGCGCACTGAGCTGCTCAAAGGCGCAGCTGCACGTGACGACGTCGGCCCATTGCCCCGTCGCCTCGAACTCGGCGCGAAATGCCGTCAAGTACATCAGCGTTGATGCGAAGCGAGGAATGCCCTGTGAGACGAGCGTCATCGGGTCGCCCTTTGCTACCGGTAGTGGCCCGGCGATGCTGTCTGCGCGAAAGGCTTGCGCCGCTACCATGAGGCGCTGAAGCTCCGAGCATAGAAAGGCGCATGTCATCGCAATCGCTTCGTCAGTGCGTTGCACCTCGAACGGATCGAGAACGCGCCGGTTGAGCGCCTCCGACACTAGAGTCGACGTTGGAACGCCGGTTGATGCATTGGGCTGGCTGTCTTTGCCCAGCGTGGCCCGACGCGATGTCCTTGCAGAGCAACGCGGTGTCGATAGCTCGTCGTGGACGCCACAACACTTAAGGACGGACGTGGCTCCCCACCCGACGGCAAGTGCGGTGAGAACGGCGACGACAACCATTTATGGGGTCGTGGATCGAGTGGGTCGTTCGCTTGTTTTAATAAATTCTACCACGTAGCTTTTACGCCATTTCTGCATCGACCGTCGATACCTTTACCTACCTAGAGTACCTACTTGGACGACGCTACATGTGGTCAAGGTGGCCCTTAAAGCTGCCCTTATGCATAGTACTCACCACGTGCGGTGATCGCCATAACGCAAGGCCTCCACGTGACCGCAGTGCTGAATCACCTTGGTGGCTGCTTGTGCACAACAGTCGAAAATTCGTGGCACTCGAAACGAGTTGAGCTACAAGCAGGCCGAAGGAAGGTTTAAAGGAGCATTCAAAAACGACTGTACGAATGAATGAAGACCACGCGTGTCGAGTCGACAACCGACTGGCGACCGTCGTCAGCAATCAAACCTTGAGCACACGAATCGGATTCGTAGAATTTGCATTGTACCACGCCGCACTTACTACTGCAGAAGAAGCAAGGATTTCTCCACCACTTGAAGTTTGAAGTTGGCGCCATGCGCAAGGAGTGTATGTACATGTATAGGACGAGCTCTGTACGAATGGGTGTGTCGCCATGGATCAAACCAAACCATGGTGACACGTTCGAGTGCTTGGTCCGTTCTCAATGAGAATGGACCAAGCACTCGAACGGGTCTACTAGTATAAAGCCAATAATGATCACGTTCGCTAGAACGTGGCTTATCGGTAGGTCAACCTACGCGCTGGTCCAAGTGCGATGGACGCATTCTTTCTCCACCATCCTCCATCACTTCGTCGCCATACAAAGAACCATACACGTACTGTGGATCCCTTGGGGCACTGAGAGTGAAGTGATTATTGCAGAAGCTCGGTCAGTCGCCCGCCGAAGTCTGGCGACGCCGTGTGATCGAGACACGATGATGGTCAAGGCGCTTCAACAATCATGCGGTGGTGATCAACTGATAGTCAGTGTACTACTCTCCCTTTTGGTAGCACCCCCCACTGGCAGCGTAGTAATTCTCCGTATCATATACTAAATGTCAGATGCTTGAGAGAGCCGGGGTGTGTGTTTATAGGGAGGGCCACCCACCTCGTGCGGCGATTCGTCGCGCGCAATTCATTTTCCTTTTTGCCTCCGTCCAGCGGAACCATTGACCAATGTCGAGTGCGTCGTCGTTCTACGAACTCAGCAGCAAGAACACGGACGGCGTCGAGATCTCGATGGCCAAGTTCACGAGCCGCGTCTGCCTCGTCGTCAACGTCGCCGGCGCGAGCTGATCCCAAGCGCAGCTCAACTACACTCAACTTGTCGAGCTCGATCGCCGGTACCGTGACCGTGGGCTGCAGATCCTTCTGTACCCGTGCAACCAGTTTGCCAACCAAGAGCCCGGCACGAACGACGAGATTCTCGCGTTCGCGCGCAGCTTCGGCGTGACGTTTCCCGTCATGGAAAAGGCCGATGTGAACGGATCAAAGACGCAACCAGTATTCAAGTACCTCAAGAGCAAGCTCCGGGGCACGTTCACGTCAACGATCAAGTGGAACTACACCAAGTTTCTCATTGATCGCAACGGCCAGCCGTACAAGCGGTTCGGGACGTTTACACCGCCGATCAAGCTCATTGACGACATCCTCGACCTCCTCGACGAAGAGATGCGCCCCACAAGCGCGTGCGACTAGACCGCGAACGACCACTGCTGCTTCCATGCACGTCACATGAATGACAGTCCGCTCCTCAAACTCAACCGAGTCGGAACGGACTTGAAGAGACTGCGGGCCCCGCGCGCCATTTGTTGAGTGGATGGCGTGCGGGAGAGCCCCCGATCGTGGCCCAATGGTGCTCATGTGGTCCAACGTTGTACTTGTCGATGTCTAATTTATAAACGTATTCTACGCCACCGACGTCGAAGTCAAGAGCTGGGCATTCAGCAGTTCGCCATAGTCTCCAAGTGTAGCAATCCGTGGCCTTTGGCGAGTGACGTGTGGTGTGTACAGTGAAAATGCGCAGGACCCAATTGCACCCGGAGACACACCGAGAGTGCGAATTGCTTGGGGACCATTGCCCGGCAGCCGTCACGTCAAGCCAGGGGTAATAACTATTATGTACCCCTGCGTCAAGCCAAGGCCCCGCGGTTGACGATGCCGGCCGCGGTTCAAGATCAAGATCCGCTATACGATCGTTCTTTGAGCTTCACTGGCGGACGAGGTGGAAAAGATATTTCGAAGACGGTGCATTTTGAGATTTGTTCCGCGTCAGAAAGATGGCGGCCAAGTCGTTCTTCGACCTCGGGAGCAACAACATGGACGGACAGCGCGTGCCGATGGCCACCTTTCGCGGGCGCGTGTGCCTCGTCGTGAACGTCGCGTCAGCCTGAGGCCTCACGAAAGTCAACTACACTCAACTCGTCCAGCTCGACGACAAGCTCCGGGAGCGCGGTCTGCAGATCCTCGCGTACCCGTGCAACCAATTTGGCGGCCAAGAGCCTGGCACGAACGCCGAGATCATGGCCTTCGTCGCCAAGTTCGGCGTGCGCTTCCCGCTCTTTGAAAAGGCGGACGTCAACGGCGAGCACACGCAAGAGGTCTACGCCTTCCTGAAGGACCGCCTCCCGGGCGACATTACGTGGAACTTTGCCAAGTTTCTCGTCGACCGACACGGGCAGCCCGTGAAGCGCTACGATCCCAACGTCGCGCCGTTCGACCTCGAGGCCGACATTGAGGCCCTCCTGGCTTAAGACGGAGGCCACGTCCACGAGGCGGCCGGGTGGACCGCGGAGAGGGACCAGCACATGCATGACGGACGTATCTTCAATCTGCAAGCGCAGACAGAGACGGCCTGACAAGACCGCGGGTCCGCGCCCCTCGTCGAGTTTGAGTGTATCGACGCGGGCGCAATGGACCCCAAGAGTGCCCCTCCCGCGCACCCGATCGCCCTTGGACGACAGAGATAAAGCTAATCGATAAAGATTTCTTTGTTGACTTGCAGCAGATGCGCATCCAATGTCACAGCGAGCAGACAACGATGAGGAATCCCTGATGTAGTGTTAATAGGGATCAATGAGGTGGAGCTTGCGCTTCTTGGACGCCTCGCCGCTGAGGTCGATGGTTTCATTCGGACGCTTGTTGGATGTCCCTTCGAGGTCGGCCGTGTCGTCAAACATGGCCCAATCCATGTCATCGTACGCATCCGACACAGAGGCCGCGCTGGGTTTCTGGAAGTAGGGCGACTTGGCCTTTGGTCTCGCAACAGGCGCCGACAAGGCTTTGGGTGGGCTTGTGTCCTTCACGTCGTGCATCATCTCGGCCGTAATGTACCCCTCGGGCAACGGTGTGGGCACAAGACCGTTCTAGGGACATCGACGATCTACCTATTTGACGAAGTAGCATTCGTACCTTGGCCAAGTAGCTCTGCACGAGCTCGATGATGGCGGCGCCATACTTCTTGACGCGCGTTCGACCGACGCCCTCGATGGCCATGAGCTCAGCGTTCGAGACGGGCACAGCTTCGGAGATGGCGACGATGCCGGCAGTGGGCAAAATGTGGTACGGCATCACGTCAAAGTTGTCGCACTCCGACGCACGCCAGTCCATCAAAATCTGGTGCAACGCTTCGACATGATGCAGCGGAACCCTATACGAGAAGTGTAGCAGCCACAGAGATATACCAAAGTACGCACCGTGCTGCGAGCTTGGTGTGTCGGGGCATGACAGGGAACATCTCGACGACTTCGACGCCATCGTCATCGTCGAGCGAGGCCGACGGCAGCGCCCCCGACGCTTTGTTGGATGCCTTGGCCTTGGATGCCTTCTTTTGCTTGTCCTTTTTGGCCAAAGGAACTTGCTCCGAGACCACGAGCGGCTTTCGCTTCGTCTTGTACACAAGCTCGACGCGCTCGCCCTGAAGTAGTTTACGTGCTTGTTGCCCGACAACGAGCACGTTGGAGGAGAAGCCCATTGTGTTCTTCTTTTCCTACATTGTGTGTCAACACAGCGATTCCATGGAAATGGGAACAGACCACTTCGTCGAGGAACTGGCGCAGAATCATGTTGTAGATGACGCGCTCGACTTCACTGCGGTCGTACCGACCCTTGCCGGCGCCAAACTCGACAAAGCTCTCGTAGAACGCGCGTCGCTTCTGGTTGTCTTTTGCCATGGAGCCCATAAATACGGCCGACGCTTGGACGACGGTCAGCGACTCGTTTTCACTCGCAGACCGTTGCACTACCCACGAATGTTATAGCTGGTCAATGCATTGCCATCGTACCAATGTTGTGCAGCAATCGACAGTCGGCCGAGACGTCCTTTTGCTCGAACGCGACGCCTTTGCCACGCGCCTTGCAGTTGTCGCACGTCTCGTGGCAGTTGGCGTTGGAGAAATGCTCGCCAAAGTACTCGAGGAGACTCGTGCGCCGACACTCGACTTGGTTTTCGCAAAACTCGACCATGCGCCGCAGGTTCTGAAAGTGCACATTACGGTGCTGGGGGTTCTCGCGGTCTTGGGAGATCAAGTGGCGCCGACGCGACTACGCATTTCGCTTCATCAACCTGTGTGTACTCACACGGGGTGCAAAGTATACCATGTCTTTGAAAGAGTAGTAGAGCAAGCACGTCGACTGCTCACCGTCACGACCCGCGCGGCCCGACTCCTACGTCGCAATGAGTGGGTTGCCCTTTAGTGTATGCATGTGTACTTGATAGTAATGCGTCACTGATTGCGGGATCGTGTGGTGGATCACGTAGCGCACATCGGGCTTGTTGATGCCCATGCCAAAGGCAACCGTCGCCACAATACACTTGATGCGACCCTTGCTCCACTCGTGGTGACGCTTGGAACGGTCTTCCGATTCCAGCCCAGCGTGGTAGAACGAAATTTTCTTGGCCCGAGACGTTCCCTCGTAGCCGAGAGTCTGGATGAGCTTGTTGGCTGTCGTCTCGCAGTCCTTCTTTGACAAGCTAGATCGACGGTTGCATAAGTATGACAAGCTGTGGAAACTCGCGTTCTGTACCAGTAAATAATGCCCGACTCGTCAATGCGGTCGCGAACAAAGTTGCACATCTCTTCCATGAACTTGGATGTCTTGCGGCGCACATCGTACGTCAAGTTGGGTCTTCGAGTCATGGTAAGCACACGTGCAAACAGTAAAATAGAATACCTATTGAAACTTGATCGTGTCACAAAAGGCTTGGCTAGACGCAGGTTCTTGACGATATCTGCCTCCGTCTGTCCGTTGGCCGTTGCTGTGAGCGCCATGATGGGCACCTAGACGTAGCAAGTAAATCGCTGGCGTTTGGTATTTGAGATGCACTTACGTTGGGGTACTTGGAACGCAGATTGCCCAGGTTCATGTAGTCCTTCCGAAAGTCGTGGCCCCATTGGCTGATGCAGTGCGCCTCGTCCACGACAAAGCGCGCAAGCATGCCACGAGAGGCGAGCGATTCGAAGAGCTTGCCCAAGAGACCGCTCGACGCGATTTTCTCCGGTGTCACGTAGAGCATCTTGATCTGGATTGAGTTGGAAAAGAGCTGCGAGATGATGGGCTTCTGCACGGAGTCGTAGTCTTGGTCGCCGTTGAGAAGCGCCACGTCAATGTCGAGTGCTTGCAGCTGCTGCACTTGGTCTTGAATGAGCGACACGAGCGGGGAGATGACGATCGAAACGCCGGGATCGACGCACGCCGGGAGCTGGTAGCAGAGACTTTTGCCGCCACCCGTGGGCATGAGCACAAACACGTCGTTACCCAAAAGTGCCTCCTACGAAGCCTGTTATAATCGAAGCCCACCAGGCGTCGTGTTGAGCTACCTGGACAACACGCTCTTGCCCCGGACGGAACGACGAATGACCGAAGACGTCGCGTAGGATGTGCTTAGCGCGCTTCATCTTGCTTGCGAGGTCAGCTTCCATCGCCAAAGGAGCTGATGTCGTCGCATTGAAGTCGTGCATTGGGTTGGACGGGAAGGACGAGCTCGAATTGGTGGAGGAGCCGCCATCGGCCCAATTGTGAAATCCACACGACTCGCAAGAGTTGTAGAGACGACCCGCGTTCTGGCCATGGACGACTTTTTTCGCCGTCGTCGGTCGCCCACACTTGCATAACACTTGGTTCGACCCACTCGTGTCGCGGAGCGCCATTTCGTAGTTGTTGCTGCTGCTGTATCGTGGAGACGGCGGGCTGTACGGCGCAGTCGGCGACACGTAGGCGCGGGGCGTTTGCGCTGGGGTCGGGGACACATAGGCGCGCGGCGTCGGTGCCGGGGTCGGCACGGGCGTTGGTGTGGGCGTTGCAGATGTCGACCCGCTACGCGCGTCGCGGTAAAGCTTGCTGTAGTGCGCAAGCGACTGCTCTAGCTTGGTGCGCTCCGCCTCAAGCTCGTCAGGCACTTCGCCCATGAGGTACGCATCGTCGCACTCTTCACGCACTCGCCGGAGCTTTGCTCGGATGTCTTTGATCGAGTCTTGCAGCTGCTCCAGCGACGGTCCTTGAGACGCTGCTGAGACCTTGCGAGCATGTAGTGCAGTGATCTTGGACGCTAGTTCTGCCTCGAGCGCATCTCGTTGCTGCTCCAGCTCGAACGGGACATCACCGTCGAGCGACGCGTCGTCGCACTCTTCGCGCACGCGGCGGAGTTTAGCTCGCGTTGCTTGGATGCTCGCTTCGAGGTCGCCTTGGTTGTCGCTGACTGCCATTGAGCGCGATGAAGCGAGCTGGCTTGATCCAGCGTACGAACTTGCTGAAGGTGCGACGGTGGAAGGCGTGGGAGCTGTGTACGTTGATACCGGAGCGGTGTAAGTTGATGGAGTAGCGTAGGAGGGCACTGCAGCAGACGCATTTGCCGGATAGGTACGCGACGACGCTGATGGTGTTGAGCTGACCGACGTTGGGATCGCGCTGAGTGATGTGCTTGTCGTCGGCAGGGGCTTGCGATAATCGCTTCGTTGCAAGGGCTTCGTCGCGTGCGTCGCCGACGCGACCATCTCGTCGAGATCCACGGCCCCGAGAATATCGTCCAAGTCTTCGCCCATATCGTGGTCGGGCTACCGCAAGCATCATGAGTCGATATCGTTTCATAGCATCACTCGTACCATGTTACTGGTTGACACGGCTTTGGTCGTCGTTGTATTCGCGTGGATCGAGGACATTGCCGGCTTCTCCTCTGGCATATCGAACGTCTTCTTCTTGTTGCGCTCGATGATCTCGGCGCCGACTTGAGTGATATCGATCGTCGTCGGACTTCGCTCGATTGGCATGACCGATGGAGGACCTAGGGGCCCCCGGAAGCCGCGCATGATGGCCAGCGCGCTCGCGGCCCCGGGGTTCTTCGTGTAGTCTCGCCCCAGGGGCTTGAACCTACAGACAGGCTTGGATCGCACGATGCTTCGTCCATCATCGTCCTTGTACCCGGTGGTCCGTCCACTGCTCATGTGGTACCCGTCGATCTTGGCCTTGTTCATGGGCTTCTGGAGGATCTCCATGTGGTCCGGGCCGCGGACCAGCGCGACCTGCTCGTCCCGGTTCGTCTCCATGGCCGGCTCCGTCTTGTGCAACTCCAAGTGCACGAAAGCTGCCCCAAGCTCGAGGTACCAGTTTCCCGCTTTGGTCGCCGACGAGCGTACTTTAACGAATATCAAGATCGTTTATTATTAGCAAGGGTTTTGTATTGGATATTAGTATGCGCTGGGCGGTGCTTGCAATTCTATAAAGTACGATGGCGCACTTTATATGCATCCACCACTTGGTTTTCACGGAAGAATCTCGCAACGGCAGAGGCCGAGGCGCCAACAAATCGAGTCGCACGAAAGGGCGGGACGCGACCACGCGACTTGTCTCCACAAAAAGATAGACAATATTGACCTCTGATGAATATATTAATCTGCGGTTTAGAGCTCCGTGCGATCGCCTTGCGGAGGCACGGCGACAGTGGGCGCGGGAGGCGGACTCTTCACCTCGTCCTCGTCCTTGACGGTCATGTCCTTCATGACCTTCTCGAGGTTGACGTCCTTCTTCTTGTCAGCCTTGATCTTTTGCTGTTCGATGCGGTACATAAGGTCGGGGAGGTACTCTTCGTAATATTCGTTCGTGGCTTCGGCAACAACCTTGAAGAACTCGTCCATGCCGGCGCCCGTCGCTGCCGAGACGCCGCAATGGCGCAGGTTGGAGTAAAACTCCTCAAGGACCAAGCTGAGCGAGCGCGAGAGCGTGTTCATGTAGCTTTCTTCGTTGGTCTGGTCGAGCGCGGTCTGGAAGGCTTCAAAATCCGTCATCCAGTCGACAGCAAAGTCGTGCGTCACGACGTCCGTCTTGTTGAAGAGCACGATGAAGGGCAGCTTGACCTTGTACAGAATGCTACAAGCACATTAGTATTCGGCAGAAGAGCCATGCAAAAGGGATGTACCTGCACGCGTAGAGCATGTTGGACATGAACGTGTTGGGCTCGTCGTGCGAGGCGTGTCGACCACATAGACGACAACAGTCGGGAAGGACGTCGCCAGCGACTCGGTGATGATCGCGCCCGACGCAGACCACGTGAAGGCCTCAATCTGACCAGGCGTGTCGACGACCACGTAGCTAATTTCGACGAGTGAGGAGTGCACAGTGGAGACGATCGACAACGTACTCGAGATCAGGCGCACGCTTCTGGATGAGTTCGACGACTTGGTCGAAACGCGTCGCAAAGAGGTTGAGCGACGTCATGATGGCGCCGTTCGGGCCAAGACCATACTCGGTCATGACCTGCTTGTAGTCGACCGTGTCGCGGATATCGATGTGGGCACCGTACGGGACCTGCTTGACGGCGGGATCAAGGTTGACCACGTACTGGCGATGCTCGCGCTGCTGCTCGGCCGCATGTACAGCCAGGCGGTGCATCAGCGTCGTCTTACCGCTGCCAGCCATGCCAATCACGAGGAGCGTCGTGGGCATAGGGGTTCGGGGCGTCGTCGTCGTGCTCAGAGCTTCGGCCATGTTGCTGATGGAATTTGCAATCTTATGACTGGCGATGATTCGCAGCATATTAATAACCCATTGATTCAAAGACACTTTGTTGTTTGTATATAATATAAAGAGGAAGTCCCCGAATTCGGCGACCGCTGAGTGGTGGATCCTTGATGCGAGGTGGACGCCCAACGGTGGTCTAGAATCACGCCTTTTCCAGCAATCGTTTGCTCGCGCACACTGGTTTCGGTGACGGAAGGTGGCGTCAACCTAGCCACTACAAATCATGCTGCTCAGTCGGATCGCCCGTCGGCCGCTGGTCCGCGCGAGCTCGTCGCTGCATGGCCTCACGCATGTCAACGCCGAGAAGCAGCCAACCATGGTGGATGTGAGTGGCAAGGCTGTGACAAAGCGCACGGCGACCGCGCGCTCGATCATCCGTCTGCCACCAGCGGTCATGGCCGCGCTCCGGCAGGACACGGAGCTCGTGAGCAAGAAGGGCCCGGTGTTGTCGACAGCGACGCTTGCCGGCGTCATGGGCGCCAAGCGCACGAGCGATCTCATTCCCTTTTGCCACCCGCTGGGCCTCGAGAACTGCAATGTGACCCTTGACGTTCGAGACACCGACTCGACGATCCACGTGCATTGCTCGGTGACCGTCACAGGCCGAACCGGCGTCGAGATGGAAGCGCTCACGGGTGCGTCCATCGCTGCGCTGTGCGTTTACGATATGTGCAAGGCGCTGTCCCACGACATTGTCATCACCGAGACGCGGTTGCTGGCCAAGACGGGCGGGAAAGCCGATTTTGCGGCGGAACAGAAGTAGCGTTTTGTTGTGTATTAGATCAAGCGTAATAGAAAGGTGCTGACGACGACGGCGTCCCCAGCGTAGAGCACGAACGAGAGCACTTGCTGCCGATGCGCTTCGTCGGCAATGCAGTACTGGAGGTAGCTGGCGCAGAGGTGGCTCCCGTCAAAGTAATGTATCGGGAGTGCGTTGAAGAAGCCAATCGTGCCCGAGATGTTGAGCAGGAAACTCCAAAACCGATACAGACTCTGAGGCACTTGAATCCACCACAGCGGCGACAACGGGGTTGTATACGCCATCACCTCGAGCTCGGCATGGAGGTCGGCGGGGAACCCGTGCAGCATGACAACGCGGCCGTCCTGGAAGGCGAGACGCATGAGCGTTTGCATCGACTGGATGCGAGGCGTCACGCACGTGTGCGCGTCGTCCGCACAACTCGCGTCGCCATGGCAACGGTGCGTCGAGAGGTCGCCGACTTGCTTTCCATCGAGGCACGTCTGCAGTGCACCGTGGTTGTACGAGAAGCACTCGGCGTTGCTGTCCGTGTCGGGCCGACAGCAAGATGACTCGGTCATTGCGGAGTGGTGTAGCTGAAGCAAGGCTGACGGGATGCAGTACCCGTGGTCTTTGAGCTCGTTCGTCTCGACGAGCTTGGCGAGATAATCAATCTCGGAGCGCCACTGGCCCCAGTTGAGCGTCGGTTGATGGTCCACAGACACGATGACGTCACCAAGTGACACGATGCCCTCGAACGCCGACATTTCCGGGATCGCAATGACTGTCATTCCTTGGTTGACGTCGAAGAAAGGCGAGAGGTAGAACGGGAGCAACTGAAGCTGCACAACGCAAAGAAAGCAGAGGACCTACGCAATTACATGAGCCATGGATCGACAAAACCAACGATCGGACCGCGTTGTGCCAGATGCCTGCGCTCTGGATCTTGATTTGGTCCAGAAGACCGACGTTAAAGTAGCTGTCAAAGCGCACGTACGCGCCGGGAAAGACGACCGCGAAGAAGATACCGACCGACTTGATGCGGATTTCGCAAAGCGCGGCTGCAAGCGCATGGCCAAATTCGTGCTACAAAGCATTGCATGAGTTTACGTTAAGTGCGCGCTCCATGTACAAAGGAAACGGCGAGGAACACGGTGGCCCAGAGGTAGACGGTCGCATTCATGGGCATCGTCACGCCTGGAATCATGATCGAGGCGTCCGAGAGCGGTACGTCGACTTCGACGCGCGCGAGCTTCTGCACGACGAGCATGACGAGTGTCCATGTGATGTAGACCGTGCCTATCGCCATACCAGCGCCCGCGACGATGCTGCCTGCGGCGAACCACGTCTTGAGCCCCGTGGGGTACTGCCGGCCGAGCTCGAAGACGCGCTCGTTGAACCACGAGATCTCCTTGCAGACAAAAGCTGGTAGCACGTGGATGTCGTTGTCGTCGTCCGCACTCAGGTGCAGGAACACGTAGACTCCGGCCCACCCGAGCGCGAGGCCGGCGACCCACATGAGCAGCATCCCGTCTGTCCAACGCAATTAGTGTTTCTACCGGTGCCGAATACGACAATGCCGAATGCAAATCGTTGTGGCCGAATGTACCGTATACGACAACCGGATACTGAATGCATGCCGAATCCAAGCGACGTATGCCGAATATGCCGAAAACAAACACAACGTGTCCGTTTTTCGCATCGACCATGTCGTTCTCGCACTTGACAAGCGCGCGGCCGTCGAACGCGGCGTCAGACGACGCGCCCGTGACGCCGACGTCGGCGTTCGAGCTGGCAAGCATCGGCCCCGGTTCGTACCTGTAGGTGGGCTCCGCCAGATACCCGCCTGAAGCCGGAAGTAGACCGCTGGCCAATTGGCCTGGGAAGCAGTCGCCCGACCGACGACCCGTGACATCGTTCGGTACGAGCGCGGAGCCCGAGGCGCCCCGCCATGCGCGCTTGGACCGGGACCCGAATGCACTCACCGCCGACAGCTACATTATGCGAGGTATGCACGCATGCGATGTGTCGCGAGGTGTGAGTGGTAGTATTCAGAACACCGCGAACTCGTGTCGCGGAGCAACGGCAAAACCGGGCGCACAAAGAAGCGACACGAGAGCCCTGGTGCAGTCTCAGCAGAAGCCCCGGTCGCCCGGCCGTACTGGAGACGTACACATTGCGAGTGCCCCGGTCACTCGGGGAGAAGCTGCGAAAAGAGCGCGAGCTAACGCACAGTCCATTAAAGGAGAAATCTCGCCTCCAAAAATAATGCCCCGTTGGTTCTTCTTTGGTCGTGGGCTTGTGATCCCAAAAAGGACTTGCCATTCCAAGTGTGTTCACTGATAAGTTGATGAAGAAGACAACTTGGTCGTATACGGTTGACGTTGCATTGAGTCGGAGTTTAGCCAACGGTAGCCAACGATCAGCGTGTACCAGTGCTCTTCACGAAAGCTTCCGCGCTTCGCCGTCGAACAACTTCACGTCTGCCGAAGATCCGTTCTGGCCAATCAGCGCTTTCGGTTCGATTCGAAGGTTCATTGCGCGTCTCTGATTGGACAGCAGCCTGAAAGCGGCATGGGGCGACCAACTCAGTAGCTTTTGGCGAGCATCGGGACGTGGAAGCAACCGACGACGGTGCAATGATCATGCGGCGCATGGCGGGAGGTCTCACGGCGTCGGCGTAGAAGCGAAAGACCATGCTCTTTGCAACAACGATACCAAAGCGTACGCGTCGACAATTGGCGCCGACAACTCATGTTGCTGTGGTAGTGGTGCTTTTTGCGGCAGCTTTTGTTGGCGCCCAAGTACTGGGTAATCTGGTGAGTCCAGTCCAATCGGGTCTCAAAACACAATGTAGACGTACCTGGAAATACTGACGTGGCGCAAGTGCCCAAGGCGATGCATCGGCGCTTGACGCTACAGACCAATCCTCCGAGCGACCCGTTTCTCATGGGTATAGCATCGTCAACGACAATGAGCTCTCGTAGATATCATCGATGTAGACAATCGATTCCTGGGGGATGTGTCGGTCGAGAGCCACCCGATCTTTGGGTCGGCCTCTCTCGAGATTACGTCCAGCGGACTCTTTCGCGCAGCGACGACCGTCGGCACTGGCGGCGCCCCATCGGAGCCACGTGGATCCCGACGGCAACCGACGCCTCGTAAGGATCTTTGAGCCACGCCGACGCTACGTTACACACGTCTCTAGGGCATTCGTGGACCCTGGCGACGTCTTGTACATCAACTCGCTCGAGCTTCGCTCTGTCGTGGCGGTCAATCGCTCGGGCATTCAGGTTGACCATGGACTTCAATTTGCTCTCTTGGGTCAAGAAAGCCTGTCCGTGAAGCGCGCTCTCTTCTCAGCGTCCGAAGGTGGTGCGCCGCCGATTGCGAGTGTTAACGCGCTCGGTCTTGAAGTGCATTCGACGGATGTAACTACGGTAAGGGCATGTGACGACTCGGCGCGTAAGTCTCATGTGTAGGACACGGCGGGAACGCACACAACCGTGCGTCTCGTGCATTACTCGACGGCCAATGCATCGAGTCTGGTGCGGGTGCCCGGGACGGCCACAGTGACGCAAGGCAGCAACCTCGTGAGCACATCTACGAACCTCGCGTCCGTTCTATCGGCCAACATGTACATCCGCCTTGCTGGTGCGACTTACATTGTGACCGCACCGCCGTCGGTGTCCTCGATCGTTCTCGACCGTCCGTTCGCGGGTCCATCGTACCCTGGCATTCCGATCTATATTGAAAGTCTCGGTGCCGGTATCGAGCTCAAGGCAGTTGGTGCCGACAACGTGACAGCTGCAGCGGGTATTGAAGCTGTGTTTGGATCCGATGCGCCGACGCTACGGCTCGCGACGGCGTCGTCAAACGATACGAACGGCGGCCTCACGACGCGCGTCCACGTTTCGGTGAAAGGCGTGACTCTCGTGGGCGGCGCCAACACGATTGCAACTGAATTCGGAGGGCTCTCTCTAAAAGCGGCGAGCTTTGTCTCGGTCCAAGCGGGGACGGACGATGCGAGTAGCGTTGGCGGTGACGTCGCCATGAACGCCGGAAGTACCACGTCATCATCCAACGTCGACGGCGGTGCAATCCGTCTGGAGACCGGTCGCAGTCAAAACGCGGCATCAGCGTCGGGAACTCTTTCGGTGAAGTCCGCCGACAACGGCGCGTCATCAGGTGTCGTGACGCTCGGATCTGGTGCTGCTGCGCTTGGTCAAAGTGGATCTGTCTTCATTTCGTCTGGAACAGCTACGGATGGCAACTCCGGCACAATCACCCTCAAAACTGGAGGCATCAGCAGTGGCGCGACTAGCAGTGCAGGCAACGTCGCCATTGCAACTTCCGACACGACGACAGGAATCAAGTCAGGGGACATAACGGCGCGTGCCGGTAACAGCGCGACGGCTCAAGCTGGTCATGTCATTGCAGCTGCGGGCAACGGGGCAACAGCAGGGATCATCACCCTCACGGCCGGGGCCAGCACCGGAGCCATCAACCCTGGCGGCAGTGTTGCAGTCACCGCGGGCAGTGCCTTGCTTGGAGTCGGAGGCGCCATTGTACTCAGTGGTGGCCTGTCAAGCTCCTCAAGCCCCGGTGGTGGTATCCAGCTACAGTCGGGGTCGAGCAGTACCGGTATCAGCGGTACCATCTCGGTGGCTTCGGCCGCATCAAGTACGAGCGGAAACGTTGTTTTTGCTTCCGGCGCGGCTTCAAATGGTGCTTCTGGATCTGTCTCGATTTTGACTGGTCAAGCGTCTTCGGGAGCATCTGGCAACATCGTGCTTTCGATCCAAGCGAGCAATTCTGGCGTTGGTGGCAGTGCCATTGTGACTGCAGGCAGCGCTGTCTCGGGTGGTGACATCGTTTTAGCATCAGGCTCGTCGACAGCCGGTAGCTCTGGTGGCGTGACCATTGCAACAGCTACAGCAACTGGTGGCAACTCGGGTGGTCTGTCTTTGACGTCTGGTACCGCACCTGGCGGCACTGCGGGCAGTATCGCGTTGTCTGTCGGAAACGGGTCCATCGGTTCTGGCGGCTCCGTTCTTGTTACCGCCGGTGTGAGTTCTGCTTCAAGTGGCGGTAAAGTGACCATTCTTGGTGGCACTGGTGCCCTTGGCGGTGACGTCGCTTTGACCGGAGGTGCCGCGTCCTCTTCGACGGGCGGTAATGTTGCCATCACGTCGGGTGCTGGTACCAGTACTTCGAGCAGTGGTATCATCATGATCAGCACTTTGAGTGGCAGCACAAGTGGTATCATTCAACTCAAAACTGGGGCCTCTTCTGGCTCCGGTGGCGGCGGCATCAACCTGTCTGTTGGTACTGGCAGTCTCGGTCCCGGAGGTGTGCTATCATTGGTCTCGGGCAGCGGCGTTGTCGGTGGAGGACTCTCCCTTTCCACGGGCTCTTCAACTTCTGGCATGTCCGGCGCCGTCACTATCACGTCGGCGAGCTCGACGGGCGGCGCAAGTGGGGCGATTGCGTTGTCTACCGGCACGGCGACGGGTGGAACCGGCGGCATCATCTCACTCTCCGTCGGCAATGGCGTCGTGGGCCCAGGCGGTGCCGTTGCTATAACAGCTGGTTCAAGTTCTGTCGCCCTCGGTGGCAAGGCGTCCATGGCTGGCGGTGCCGGTACCGTTGGTGGCGACACGACACTTGTTGGTGGCGTCGGGTCTACTTCAACTGGTGGCAACGTCGTCTTGATGTCGGGCACAGGTGCCACCACGGCGGTGAGCGGTGGTATTTCGCTGAGCACAGTCACTGGCGCGACAAGCGGTGCTGTTCAATTGACGACCGGCTCTGGAAGCAGCGGCACCGGCGGTGCAATTGCATTGTCCGTCGGCACCGGAAGTAGTGGTACGGGTGGTACCATCACGCTGACAAGTGGTGCTGGTGTCATCGGTGGCTCTGTGTCTATCGGTAGTGGCGCGTCGACAGCGGGGACATCTGGATTCGTCAACATTGCTTCGGCTGCTTCGGTCGGCGGTGATTCGGGCGTTATTGACCTGACGACAGGAAGCGCGTCGGGTGGCACGGGTGGCAGCATCATACTCTCCGTCGGCAGTGGCACATCGGGCGCGGGTGGCGCCATTGTACTCTCGTCTGGCGCCAGCACCGCGTCGCTTGGCGGCAAAACAACGATCGGCGGCGGCAACGGAAGTGCAGGTGGCAGCGTCGAGGTGTCTGGTGGCATCGGAGCCTCGTCCTCTGGTGGCAACATTGTTTTGAACAGCGGTGTCGGCAGTTCATCTTCCTCAAGTGGTAGTGTTTCAATCGGTACGTCCGGAAGCAGCACAACTGGAGCCGTGTCACTCAGGACGGGAGCTGCCGTCAATGGTATTAGCGGAAACATCGCCATGTCGGTCGGAACATCGTCGACGGGTGTCAGTGGTGGCATCAATATGAGCGCCGGCACTGGACCAAGCGGTGGTGCTGTATCCGTAACCTCAGGCGTAGCGTCAGCAGGTACTTCAGGCACACTCGCGCTCGCTTCCGCCGCCGCTACCGGCGGCAACTCTGGTGGACTCGGACTTACAACTGGAGCTGCAATCAGTGGAGCTGGCGGCAGTGTTTCTATCACTGTTGGAAGCGGTGGCTCGGGCATCGGTGGCTCCATTGCGTTGACGTCTGGCGCAAGCTCAGTGTCTACGGGAGGCTTGTTGTCACTCGTAAGTGGCACGGGTACCGTCGGTGGTGATATTTCTTTGTCTGCTGCCCTCGGCACGTCAACGGCCGGAGGCAACGTCAATTTCGCAAGTGGTGCTGGAGCCACTGGCTCGACAAGTGGCGGCATTACGCTGGGGACCACGTCAAGCAGCAATACTGGTTCGATCATGCTCAAAACGGGGTCTGCAAGCAGCGGTACAAGTGGCGCCATAACCGTGTCTGTCGGCCAATCCACGAGCCCCACAGGCAGCGGTCTCACCCTCAGCAGCGGCAACGGACCCTCGGGCGGCCCAGCAACTCTGATAGCTGGCGCATCGTCAAGTGGTTCGTCTGGCCTTTTGACACTTGCTACATCCACATCCAATGGCGGTGATTCTGGTCAAGTAATCATCACAACTGGGGGCGCCGCCAGTGGTACAGGAGGCAGCATTGTGGCATCGGTGGGTGCCGGTGTCTCCGGGGCCGGCGGGCCTATCACACTGACGGCGGGTTCGAGCACAGTCTTGACGGGCGGCAAGACATCCCTTCTCGGTGGCTCTGGTACCATTGGCGGCAACGTTGAGCTGACGGGCGGCACTGCTACGTCAACGACGGGTGGGAACATCGTTTTGGTCTCTGGTGCGGCTGCCTCAAACGCCGTCAGTGGGGCGATTTCGCTGAGCTCGGCGGGTGCTAGCACGAGTGGCATGATCCAGCTCAGATCTGGTACTGGATCTGCGGGAGCTGGCGGCGCTATCCATCTGTCTGTTGGTGCCGGCTTGACGGGCATTGGTGGCGCCGTCGTTGTGAGCAGTGGATCGGGTGTCGGTGGCGGAGCAGTCAGTGTTACCACGGGCGCCTCCACGGGAGGTGTTTCGGGGGGCTTGACTCTGGCCTCGTCCCCGTCAACGGGCGGCAGCAGTGGTGCCGTTTCGATATCGACTGGGCCTGCCACAAGTGGCGCGGGCGGTGCCATTTTGCTCGCGGTCGGCACGGCTACGTCAGGTGCCGGTGGAACAGTGTCCATCACAGCTGGTGTTGCAGATACATCAATGGGTGGTTTGGCGTCTCTTTCCGGCGGCGCTGGCACACTTGGTGGTGGTGTCTTTCTCGTTGGCGGCAATGGAACAACAGGCCAAGGAGGCGACATCACTCTGCAAACGGGATCAGGAGCTGCCGTCAGTGGTGACGTCGTCTTGATGACGCCGAGTGCCGTCACGAGCGGCATGGTGCTTCTTGCTTCGGGTCCTGGGACCAATGGTGCTGGCGGCAGTATCCATATGTCCGTCGGCATCGGAGCGAGTGGGACGGGCGGCGACATCAGCCTATCAAGCGGCAATTCCGTAATTGGCGGTGCGGTCAACATTCTGAGCGGAGCCTCTTCGTCGGGCGTCTCGGGAACAGTCTCTGTCGGCTCGGGTGTCGCGGCCAACGGGAACTCTGGGGCACTCGCACTGTCGACGGGCGTGTCGACAGGTGGCAATGGCGGTGGCATCTCCATCGTCGTTGGCAATGGCGACACGGGAAATGGCGGTGATATGAGCTTGATTGCTGGTCTCAGCTCCGCCTCGTCTACAACTGGCGGTAGAGTCGAAGCAACTGGCGGCGTGGGGCCCACTGGAGGCAACGTCGTACTGGCTGGTGGCGTCGGCACTGCAGCATCGGGTGGTGCTATCAGGCTACTGAGCGGGGTTGGATCGTCAGCTGCAGGCAGTGGTGCAGTGGCAATATCGACGGCAACTGGAAGAAACAGTGGCAGCATGACTATTGCCACCGGACCTGGAACTAGCGGCAGCGCTGGTGCTCTATCGTTATCGATCGGGTCATCGAGCTCTGGTGTCGGCGGTGCAGTCAGCATTCTCAGCGGCAGTGGAGTTACTGGTGGCTCCACCACAGTCGGTAGTGGGACCTCATCAGCTGGCGTGTCTGGCTTCGTGACGCTGTCTTCTGCAGTATCGAGCGGCGGAGACTCTGGGACTATTTCGCTGCTCACGGGCTCTTCCACGGGTGGCACAGGCGGTAGTATCATTGCGACGGTCGGGAACGGAGTGTCCGGCGCTGGTGGGTCTATCACGCTGTCTTCTGGCGCGAGCTCCGTGTCAAATGGTGGCAAGACGTCTGGCTTTGGTGGCACCGGTACGACGGGGGGCAACGTTGAATTTACTGGTGGCGTCGGTCAAGCTTCAGGGGGCAGTATCGTTCTTGCTGGCGGAAGTGGTGGCACAGCCGTCGGTGGCAGTGTGTCTGTTGTAAGTGGCACAAGCTCAACGTTTGGCCAGACCGGTGCCGTAGCTGTGGCGTCCGCTAGTGGTATGACAAGTGGTGCAATCAGCTTGACGAGTGGGACCGCATCTACCGGCGTTGTTGGGCATATTCGTCTCGCTGTCGGCGTCGGCAACTCGGGTGTCGGCGGATCCATTAGCGTTTCAAGCGGATCTGCTGCAAATGGCGGCATCGTTCTCATTACTTCTGGTCCTGCTACCGCTGGCACTTCTGGCGCTGTC